CCTATGCCCGTCGCCGTGCCGGTACGAACAGTACTGCAAAATGTCGGGTACCTACGGATTCCTTCCGTGCCCGCGCGTATACATCGGGTGTCCCGAAAAGAGGGACACGAATGCAAAGTATCAACGTGGAGATCCGATAGGAGACGACGTATATTCGATGGCGAGGTGGATGCCAGTAAAAAATAACTGCACAAAGTCTGATTGAGTTCAAGTACAATTAAATTAACAAATAATATAAGAGTCATTAAATTGTTGAAGTTATTTCATTATTGTTTCAAGAGTGTCAACAGATTCGCACGACTATTCGTACTTGAAAGACTTGGAGCTTCAAGTGTCACAACCTGTCTAGACCTGTCCGAATTTGTTTCTTGAATAATGAATCATAATTCAAGCAGTTTGCGAGTGCGAACACAAGATCCGCAAACAAACAATCACGAGTTCTTGCGGCGAAACAATCGCGTGATTGTATAACGGGAATACTACGAAGGCTTTGATTCGACATTGTATAAATAGCATAAACCTTTGCGGCCTCTAGGGTCTCTACAAATAGGGGACCGCGTTGTATAAACGGTTAGTAGACAAGCAGTAGACTAGAGGACAGGCGGCAACGACTTAGGTCTCACTTCGATTCGAGCGAACAGGGCAGGGCAGGTATAAATCTTCGCCATTGGACTTCGGCCGGGCGGCAAGCTCCATGGCGGGATTTCTTTCTCTCGCTTAGCCAAAGGAACGATCGATATACAGAGCACGAGTCGAGAAACTTGGACTTCCGGTTAACAGGTCTCGAGACTGAGAGACGCCTTAAATAGCGAATGTGACTGTTTTATCTAATTATAAATTGCGAGTTGAGAAAAAGAACGATGTCCTTTGTAATAGATTTAGCTGCAGATGAGTAATATGAGCGGAAGTCTCGTGCTATGTATTTTCGTTGAAAGTTCGAGAACAAGGGCAGATTGCCTCGGACTTCTTGCCACATCACAAGAAGCCGTAACCGCCGTAACATTCCTGAAGCGATGCAAGAAGCTCGGTCGCATGTCGGTGCATGCTGCATCATCGCGCAGTCGCGTGGGTGTGGGTGAAACTGCGTTTATGCGCGCACGCATATCTCGCGTCCTTCAGTGAAAAAGGACGAAAAAGGATGAGCGGTTGAACAAAGAAACGCATGAGAAACGAAGCGCAAAAGGATCACTCGCTGTTCTTCCAGCGATGGCGTTTTGAGAATGAACGTGTATTCGTGTGAGAGCGAAGTCGAGATAGCGATTTATGTACATTTATCGCGTAAATCCGAGCCTGTTGCGTAGACATTACCGCGAAAGTAATTCCGGGCGTTTGGTTTATCCCAACGCGAAAGAGGTCGATGGCGACCCTGGGCAAGTCGAGTTACCTGCGAGCGAAGTTATGTCTGAGAAATATCGCCTCGAGTGCAGGCGCGTCGATACGTTGTAGGTGTGGGTTACACTTACATGTATTAAGCGGTTTTCATGCGTGAATATTACCGTTCTTCACTTTGTTCCATTGTAATTCTTCCTAACCACGAATAAAATTCACAGCATCAGATAAAAAAAAAACAGAAAAGATCATCGATCGTAGAGAATGACTACATTCAGTAAAAAAAAGCAGCTTTGCAACTGTTGTGAAATTCTTTAATAATTTGTCTTGCCCTTAATTCCTCACTGGATCTAAATGGTATAAACCAATAATCTTAAAGAATTTTATAACAGTTGCAAAGCTACTGCTTTTTCCACCGAACGCGGTTAATCACGTACAAAGAAAGAAAGGGACGCAGGGTAATAACACTGCAAACACAGTAGGTAATAGTCAACAATGTGTGTGTGTGTGTGTGTGTGTGTGTGTGTGTGTGTGTGAGAGAGAGAGAGAGAAAATCTGTTTTCTGTAGCTAATTCAGATCTTATATGCAAGACCATCTTAAGTACAGTCTCAAGAAGTCACGAACCAATCAGAGGGTCGTTTTTAGGGTCTTAAGACATTACTTAAACAGTTTTGAAATAAAAATAGACTATGAATACCGCCCTAAACTAGTGTACACTTTTGGAACTTACAGCGAGATAATAGGTATACATTCGATACATCTATAGTGACTTTAGAAATAAAGACGCAGACCTATATATAGAGAAAGGAAAGAGAGTACCGGCCGTGACGTCGGCGAACATGTGAGAGCACCCTTAAGCACGCCCCTTCCCCCTCGGCCTCTCCGTCACTCTCGCGGCTCGGCGGGCGCGCGAGAGCGTCGAGCTCGCGCACTTGACTGCCGTGCTCTAAGTGAGAGCGCCACGTGACGTCGTCGCGCACGACCCCAGGCCGCTATGTTTCCGATAGCACGCGGACCGATCGCACGGCGCACCGCGATTGGCCACACCTTTTCGTGCGGCCGCGCCGCTCTTCGGATGCAATGCAACGATAATAAAATGACCGACTGCTTCCTCCCCCCTCTCTCCCCCTCTCTCTTTCTCTCTCTTCCTCGGTGCCGGAACGGGCGACATAACGCGGAGTTGTGACGGATGCAAAATGCATGTGTTACTACTTCGCGCGCGAACCATACACGCAAATGCGAGTGACCCGGCAACGTCGCTGGTCTGTCTATCTGTCTGTTGGTCGGTCGGTCTGTCAATCGGTTGGTCAATTGGTTGGTTGATCGGTTGGTTGGTTGGTGAGTTGGTTGGTTGGTTGGTTCATTGGTTTGTCAAATGTATACAAGGTGTCGCACATGAAAGATCTAATCGGCTTGTACTTTACCCTTTAACAGGATATAATTTCGATTCTTCTTCCCCCTTCCCCTCTCCCTCTCTTTCTCTTGTTCTTCATCTTTCATGCTTTCAGACCCGATAATATAGACGTACCGCATATCTGTGAACGTTCCACTATAGAGCTATGTATGCATTATTCCAGCAATAGTTATATACATGCTTAACTCATCGATTCCACCGATTCCATTTCTGGGACACCGAGTATTATTGTAATTTTCTTCAGGTGATATGGAAATCCTGATTTAGAAATCCAGAATAAGCCAATCGTATCTGGCGTTCTAAAAATGGAGATATTATACCAAATAAGTATACTGCCATGTTTAATAATCGTCTTAACTGTATTAGCTGTATACAGATAGTTGGTTCCCTCCCATCTCTCCGCGGGGATGACACCCGCTCGTCGATACTCTTTGTCGGCGTTACGTCATCGAGAGACGCGGATACTAAATGTCTGAATAAATGTAAGTACGATCGATATAAGCGGGTCGCTGTAAATAATATATTAAACGATTAAGTTTCTTTTATGCCGAGTATGCAATGTGACTTGGGACAAGTAAAAAAATTTTGAAGAAACGACTTTTATATTCTTGAAATGGCATCAAAAAAATGTTTTAATTATACTCTCTAAATTCCTTGGAGTGGAAACTCCTCACTGTAAAGAATGAAAATTGAGCTGGTCTTGAAAAAAAGTGGCTCAATTTTCAATCTTTAAGAGAGAGAGATTTCACTCTTCGGAGTGACAATTCACTCTAAAAATTTTAGAGAGTACATGTTAATTTAACGCAAAATTACAATCACTACGAAGCTACGCGAATCTCTTACGTTAAAGCCTTGTTCGGGATATTCTGTACATATCGTGATGTCGTAATTTGCCGAAAATAGAATCGACGTGTACACAAATGAGTCGTCTCCGGTATAAAAGAACTAGAAACCGTGATATGTGATCATATCGATCCTTCGCGCGCGATATTGTATAGTTATAAATTAATCACGACCAGGTATGCTTAAATTTAACGGTCCGTTCACACATTACGTTATCAAAATATAACATAAAATATTGTTATTAATGCAAGTATTGATATAAGCGTTACATAACCGACACGTGCTAGAACAATGTTGCTCCGCGCGTAAAACAATTCTTTTATTCAAACAAAATTTTGCTTTGAACGTACCGATCGCTCATTTTGGTCATCATCAAACCGTACAATTACTCTTTCGCATTCAATTATTTCCCGTTGTTTGAACAAAAGAAATGTTTACGCGCCGACATATCGACGTTCTGGTTTGCGTTACCCGCATTAATACCGACTTTGAATCTACTGCTTTATTATATCGTTTCGATACTTTTCTTTTTAGAAAGTAACGGTAGTTCCCATCGTGTGTCTACAGTTATAAAATTACCTAGCGTTATTGTGTTGCATAGTTACTCAAGATAAGAGATACCCATGGAACTTGTGCCGCGTTCACACCCGGACGTCTATCAATAGATTGTAAAAAAAAAAAAAAAAAAAAAAAAAAAAAAAAATAAAAAACAATTAATGACGATGTCGTGAAGCGGTATAACGCGAACGTCAGTTAGGTTCATAAAATCTCGGACGTCTCCTTTTATTACGCGTGCGACTCGTTTCGTTCCATAATGAATACCTGCCGGACCTGACTCCAGCGTTTATTGGCTCTATGCCAGTGACATAATAATCGTCGGATTTTATCAGAGGATCGAGCTGCGGCCGATCTCTCTGGCGTTCCCGTCGTTGTCGCCGGTATTAAGGACCGGCAGAAAGCTCAGGTGTGATGGAGAGAACGAGAACAATCATGTGCTGCGGCGACGTGCGTGACAATTGGAACGTCGCGGTTTCGTCATGAGATAAAGGTCGACTCTGGTGATGCACGTTGACGCGCTCCCGAGCACGTGATAAAGCGATAAGTGGAAAATTTGCGGACAAAATGCAAGTCGCTTCGCGCCGACATACGGCAACTACTGCGATCACGTGCCTCACGAGTTAATTACTCGTTTCAGCGGTTCGAAGTCGATAAAGTCGATAGTGTATCAATAAGCTGTGTGATAATCTGCTAGACAGATTATAGAGTGTCGTCAGGCGAACGATTCGTCATCGCCTAACGTCATTAATTTTGAGTTTTTCTCTCCTCGACGTTCTCAAAATGATAAAGAAGAATATCTTTGTACGGGATAAGAGAGAATAGAAGAGAAAGAATCGCGTGCTATAGGCAGCTCACCCTCGCTCCGAGAAAGCGGGCCTCCAACAACTCCTGCTTCCTTGGGTCCAGGGTGGCCTGAAAGTGCTCCATCTTGACGCCAGCGCCTGCAACAACAAGTCACAGCGAATTACACTTCGACCTTTTCGCCCGTGGCGTTTCGGTGGCAAAAGAAACGAAGAATCTGCGATAAGAATCGAGAAGCGTATCGATGATCTCTATAAGAGTCGATAGCATACGGATTGATGTGCTCCGAGATCTGATCTTCTCGACTGATTTGATGGCGAAATCGACGCGATATAGATCAGAATAAAAGAAATGAAGACGAGGCGAAGAGGACGAGAAAAGGAAAGAAAAAGATTAAGCAAGGGTTAGCCGTGCGGAAAAAAACGTAAAGAGAAACGAGCTATCGCAAAAGTTGCCGGATAGAGCCGATATTAAATGCCGGATAATGCTATTACGCGCCAAAGTATTCGCAGAAGATGTTATTCGTGCGTTACAATTTATCGCGATTTTCCTATTGTTCAGATATGTGAAGATCAAAGGTCGTTTTCTTGAAAAATATCGCATACAAAAATGTACAAGGATACTATAGTATATGTCACATATATTATATATTTCTCTAATATTTTCGTATGCGATATTTTTTCGAGAATAAGGTTCCATACTCATATATGGTATATATATAACAACGACAAACGTTGACGTCGTTACATTGTTATACAGATTTTATATTAGGTGTTGGAATTAATTCGTAGCGTTTTACAAGTGATGGGAAGTACTTTCATTAATGTATTTTTTAATGCTCATGTGAAATAAATAACATTCTTTCATTAAAAACGCTACGAATTAATTCCAACACCTAATATTTGTTAAAAAAGCTGCATTAAACAAAAATAAATTTTAATAAGTACTAGAATAGTTTTAAGTAAATATTTACTAAATGTATACATATATTTATTTGATACAAAAACCATTAACCTTCCACCATCCCAATATTTTTGATCATTGTTTTCGCTGGGCCGTTGAGGAAAACAGCATATATTTTTTATGAATTTCCGAACTACACAAAAATCAGAAAAAATCTTGTTGTGAACAACTTTAACAATAAGTTTTTGCTGTAATAAAAACTAAACCGCATTTTATTAATTTTGTATTGAAATCTGAATAAGAATTGAAAAAACATAATATTGCCTTAAAAAATACAAAGTGGTGCTGGAAGGTTAATTTGATTTGTCTTTTTTTTTTATTGTGTTAATATTTATTTACGATAGTCTTATTTGAAAAAATATTAGTAAATTTTTTTTCAGTGTGTGTAACGACAAATATAACTGACATTAAGAGTTCCAAAATAGGACTGAAGGATAAAATTATTCAATGATGAAAAAATGATTCTGCTAAAATATCTTATCTCTAATAAAAATTTAATTAGCTACATATCTAAAAATTATTTTGTTAGATGATCAAAATAATTGTGTACACCGTTAAAATCATATACTCAATTTGAATTAGTTTTAATCATTTCTGTAGATCGCCACGGCTCCTATTTAACATGTTGTTAATTTAATTAAAACAATGGAGTTTAAACTATTCAACTCAAGACAATGTATTAAATTTGATTCAGATTTAATTTATTAATAATATTTACTAGATGCATTAATATGGACGTTGATTGTGCTTCGAAACTAACTATAGAAATGGATTGATTTACACTTTGACACATGAATGTTACACTGTAAAATATAGTGTCAAATTTAACTTAACGTGAATCGCCACCTGCTCCTATTCAATTATATCATTATTTTATATTAAAACAATGGTTATATTTGACACTATACAGTGTCAATTTGACACTATATCATGTTATGATTTTACCAAAATGATATATTTAGTAGGAACAGTGGCGACTCACGTTAGATTAAATTTGACACTATTTTTATAGATTTAACAGTACAAATAAAATGTGATTTATCTCAAGAAATTAAATTATTGTATCTTTGACATTTAACCTGGCGTCATTGTAGCTGGGTCATAATGACCCGAGACATTTTTAAACAACAAACTGTATTTCCTTACATACTTTATAAATTTTAACTAACCGCCCTGTAGCTGGAGTTAAGACTTTCTAAAAGCATTGTTGACATTGTGAGAATAGATCCAAAAATTATTCGGGTTATCATGATTCACCTCAACATCCGTGTAACATTTTAGCATCACAATGACGCCGAGTTAACAGGATAGAAAATTCGAGCAAAGGTACAACAAATTCAAATATCCTAACAAGTTTGAGCGTTTCACATAATTATTTTGATAGTTGAACAAAATTAAATTTTCAGATCTATTTAGCTAAATCAGTATTTAGCTAAATCTTTTAGATGCTTCAGCAGAATCGTCCTTTTCCACGAAGCATCTCCAACAGCGTGAACGAACACGTAGACGCGCCAATGCTTATTCTTTTGCGTGGGTTTGAAACTTCAAAAACGAATTGCATCGCAAAGGATTTATCCTTGGACGAATCCGAGCGAGGAAAAATGCAGCGGAGAAAGCGAGAACGCTTGTCCTCGACGAACCGTTATTCCTATCCGAATTCTCCCAAGTAGAAAATTCGGATAGGAACGCCACCTTCGGGATTGCAATTACCGGACGCTTCGACAATGGTATTCAACGCCCACTGACAACATTCTCGATCGTAACTGCGATGCTACCGAAGCCGCTGATGATTACCGCGCAATAAACTGGACATCCCATGGGTCGTAAACGGCGCAATCAGAATGCTATAATTAGCGTTTTGCGGAGTCGCGTTATGCCGAAGTATTATTTATTTCGATCAAACGGATTGGATTTAACTCGCCCGTCGATCCTCTCCGCGAATAAACCACATTCTATTGTGCGATTTGGAGACCGTCTCATAAAATTAGTCGAATCAACTGCGGACAGAAATAATAGATAATTTGCGCGTTAAACAAAGCACACGCTTACGTGCGTTGCGTGCCTTTTCATCTTTATTATTCACGTTATGGATGAAAACTACTGTCCGAGAAAAGAATCACCCTAGGGTTAGTTAACTACCGGCGGGACGTAGTTTCCCAGAAAAAAATTATCGTTGAGTTTAAACCCGTCTAAGTTCACGGTGAGCGGTGCGTTTTTTTTTTATATTTACAAATGAAATCTTCAGTAAGTAGCAGATCTCCATAAATTCACTGGCTAGCGAAACGACACGCATGCGAGCCAAACAAAAAGATTTACTTATGTGTATCGTACATTAGAAAAAAGAGTGATTGCTTTAAATGGAATTCTGGTTGAAAATGGACAAATCAGGATTTTCTGGCTAAATCCATTATAATTTTAGTTCAGATTTGATCAGAATTATGATAAATGTGATCAGAATTTTCTGATTAAATCTACTAAATGCTACACTGAAAAAAATTTATTTAGTTGCCAAACAAAATCCTTGGTTGATATAATAAAACAATTTAGTTGAAGCAAAACATTTGATTATTGTAACATTTTATTTGTTTCTGATAAACATTGACATCTGATGAACCCGTTTATCCAAACAAGAAATTAACTGATTCAATTAAATGGGTTTTTCAACGTACAGTGAAAAAATTATCAACTCTTAATATATATTTCTTTTTAATATAAAATAAATATTTATTCAATAAAAAAAGTGATAATTAATACTAATACTTTTTGTATCAAATAAATATATATGTTTTGGTAAATATGTAATTAGTACTATTCAAACAAATATTTACAATTTATTAAATTCTTTTTCAGAGTAATTGAGATAAGACCAGAATTCCGATTGATACGATCAGAATCTTTTAATTCATTTTCAACCAGAAATTTTTCTTATCAGGGTACGAGCTTCAGTTTTCATAGATTGGTTTAACAGAGATCGTCCCTCTCTCTTCAGTCATCTGTTATCAACACGTATATACACGAGTGAATGAGTCGCACTGCTCGCCGTTACTTTCGAGAATCACTGCAATCCGTTAAAGACATTATACACGTTCACGATGCGTGACCGGCCGTTGCGCGTTACCAAACGGCGCAACGTTGTTTTCTACGTTGGATGTTTAACGATCTTTTTCCATTCCGCGATCGCGAATCGCAGGTAATAATGGCGCCGCGCGCGTTCGGACTTTGGATTCGACGGGAGAATTGAGAAAGTGATGGGATAATTGATCGTTGCGGTATGTGACAATTAATGCCACTTCGGATCAGCCACTTCGTGGAGAGCTCGGAACGCATCTGGCCGTTGAATAAATCCGAGCGGGTGAACGCGCGAAGTCGCGCTCGCTCGCGCGAGTGCAGTAGCGCAGTCATTGAACTCGTCGTCGGCCACAATTTTCATGTAAAACGGGGGCAAGGCTATTTTATTCGTAGTGACTGGGATAGGCGAACGTACTAGACGACGCCGAGTAAGAAGACAGACGGACGCGGTTCGCCGAGGCGCAGCTTTTAATTGTGCAATCGAAAACAATGCGCGACTTTTACGACACGGCGTGTAACATTCGTCGCGCGACGAATCCGGGACTATTCGATTTCGTCGCATTAAAAGTATTTATAGAGGCCCCTATTCCATAGCTCTTAATGATAGTAATACATGCCATACATGTGTCGTTATGCATTAATGTTATGGTCTTCGCCCAGCTTTTTTATCGTGTATGAAACCTGCTCAATGTAATTATATAGTGTTAAATTAGAGTCGTTAAGAATGTAATAGAATAGAAGTCTTACTATCGATTCAATCCCTTCACAATCTGTGTAGATTTTAATGTACACCAAATTTGACGACATTTATCCGTTGAAATTATTTAATTCTATCGACATCATCGAGATCAAATGTACATAATAATATATATGTTGCAAAAATAGTCAAAATTTGGAAAAAAAAATTAATTATTTAATATGAATTATTTATTTAAATGCTTAAATGAAATAAAAAACATTTTGTTAACATGGTTCTAATAAAATCAGATCTGAAGGGATTAACGTACACGCGCAGATCCCAACTGACATAAAAAAAAACTTTTTTATCCGTCGGCCTCGCTATCTTCGCGAGCGAACAACCGGCATCTTCAGCTTCGCGTGCGACGTTTACATCGGAGAAGTGTCACGACTGGCAACGGCTGGAATTTCATTCGTTCTACAAAAGGCGCGGAGAAAGCGAGGCGCTAGCAACAATGTGAGACGTTGCTCAGGATATTTCGCGAACGATGGTTCTACCAATACGGCGAATGCATTACTCGCGCGTCCATCAGCCGAAACCTCTGCATCCTTCGAAAAAGTGTGCCACGCGAACAGCGGGCATCATCTTCAATGGCACCGCGATGCTGGTCGAGAACCGATCTTGTTGTTTGCCGGACAATACTGGAAACGCGACAGAGGTGTTGAGAGCAGCACGAGCTTTATCGTCGCTGCTCTCCCTAGTAACTGGCGACATTTGAGGGATAATTAATTAACATGATTTCACGGAAAAAAATCTATTATTCCGCGTAGCCGCTGTCGCGTTCCTCGTTGTGACAAAAACGAGAAAAACTATCGCGTTTGATCAATGAATGCGCGAGTGCAACTTGTGCAACGCGGGACGCAGCGGTTCGCATATTTCACGATAATCATCGCATTCATTCCTGCGTAAGCGAATATCGTTATTCTGTAAGAATTAAATACATTGTTTTCAATATTCAATATTTTTATTCTCTCCTTGTATACGTCGATACAATGTACTCTTCATTCTCCGCATTTTCCTTTCGCGATAAAACGGAAGGTATTAGTCGGTTAACGTGTAACGTTATCGAAACGTTCAGAGTTGCCATGTGGTTTATAAGAGGTGCCTTCCATTTAGTGCCAGAGATATCGTTCTGTCTTTGTTACGCATGGAATGCAAAGAAGAATAGAATAGTTTGTGTATTGACTTGTATCGTTATGTCATTAAATGGAAAGCACCCAAGATCTACAATTAATGGGGATTTTATGGTGAAATCGGTCACTCGCTACACTGGATTAGTACATTAAAAAAGCTACTTTACATCTAAATAAATAAAAGAACAATGAAAATAATATATTCTGTTAATTAACGTTATTATATCATTATTTAATCGTTTAAAATATTTATATGCTTTTACACTGATGAAAAAATTAAAAATCAAATTTCCATATTTTTTTAAATAACATTAATTAAATGTTTATGTACAATAAATAAATATTTCAATAAAAAAATGAGAGTCCAATTAATCGTTCTTGTATACAAATAAATATACGTTTACATCTAGTAAATATTTAATTAGTACTATTCAAACAACATTTATTAAAATTTAATACGTTTATTAAAATATATTATTAAACTTTAGTACATTTTTTTCAGTGTACATTTAACTTTGCTAATTTCATGTAGCAGTATTAATTTAGTATGCACTAATCTAGTGTAGGTAATGCAAGTGACTGAATTCGCTATTATTCTCACAGGAGAAAAAGCTCTCCCTGTTGGACACTCGGCTAAATAAAATGGCAAACTGGATTCATGTCTGTTTCTATCAATGTAGATTAATTTTAATCTCGGTTTAACTTATTTTTTACCTTTTTCTCTCTAGTTCTATAAATTAAAAAAGAGCAAAAAGTAAATTAAAACCAAGATTAAAGTTAATCTATAGACATAATGATTAACTTCCGTGAAGTTGGCATCTTATTGTCAAAATTTCAATGTCATTAATAGAGTTCTAGATAGTTCCTGATAGATTTCGAAAAGAGTTCTGACGATTAAATGCAAAAGGATAATTCAATACTTAAAATATTAAAAATAATGTAAAAGTATACGATGCCAATTTCGTCGGTTATGGATTCTCTCTTGAATAAACTTGTTTAGAACACAACAATTGTTTAGAAGATACTCATAAAACAGCGTGATCGAACAGGGGTCAACTGAGACCTTCAATATTATATCTCAGTGAATGTTGAAAGATCGACACGATGAAGAGTTTACAGAACAGAGTTCTCTCGGGCGGAAACAACATCAAGCGAGCAACTGAAAATAATAAGATGGTAAACTTTCCGAGATAATCATTTTGCAACTTTGTGATCATGCGAAATCAGCGAAATCACTCGTGAGGAATACGTTATCGCCTTTGATATTTTCAACACATAACGAAAGATTTCAAAACAGTTTGCCTATCGCCTACAACGTTTTCAAGGCTATTTTCGTATCTCGAGAGTATTTTTACGCGCAAGGTTAATAAAAAATTACTACCAATACATTTACATACTTAACTACGTTGAAAAATAAGTTTTTGCGTTTGTCGAAATGACACCATCAGCGTTCGCATCTCGTAATATACATATACATAAACGTAATTGAGCTGCCAACCGACGGTGTGTCCGCTCCTCGGCTGATTTATCCTCGCGTTACTTATCTAATCTCGTGTATCATAAGACCGAAATAACATCCGTATTTTCATACATCAGGCGTCCCAAAATTCTCTTAAACCGAGAAAGAGAAAAACATAGGAATATCCCGTGAATCACTTTCGTCTACAGCTCGGGGAGAGGATCTCAACCAATCCGCTCGACATTTTCGCTAATCTGCCCAAGGGGTTGATGGCAGGATTAAAAAAAAAAAAAAAAAAAAAAAAAAGAAAAAGAAAAAAAAAAGAAATAGAGAAACGAGCGAGTTGCAAAGAGAGGATGTGCAATGTCGATTAAAAAACACTTACCACCACCAGAGTTCCAGCAATTATCAGTCATCCCTGTTTATCCATCTGCAGAGTTGGCACTACATTATAATTACACTGATCCAACTCGCTCGAATGTCTCGCGGCACGTTGGTCCTTGACGGCGTCGGCGTCGTTACGCGCGCCGGATACACTTTTCATGAGCCCTAGTGCCGCCCAACAAAACTCTCAGCTCCGCCGCATCGCTTTACACCAATGAGAGCACCTGTCTCATTATTGATCTCACACTACACTCTCTCGATCGCCGATGTACCGGGTGGGCCGCACCGCGAAGACCATCCGTAAGGTTTTCGCGCACTCCCGATCAACACCCGGCCACCCGGTCGGCCACTTCCGGCGACAGTACGCGAGGATTTCCTTTCTGTAACAGTACAGCCACGCGCGTCTACAGAACCGCCAGGAACATTGCGTTTCTTTTGTTTTTTTTTTTGAGCCGTTTTTCCGATCAGGCGAATCGCTAACTTGATCGTTACTTGATCGTTGGCTGCGTTCGGCAGAGAAAGCAGCTCTGCAACTGTTATAAAATTCTTTAAGCCTATTCTATAATTTAGTAAGCGTAATTGTAAATGGTTACAGTTGTAAGATTTGACCAATCGCAGTCGAATATTCTCATTTTCGACTAGGATTCGTCGATTCTTACAACTACGCCTATGTAACTATAAAATAGGCTTTTAATATGATTGATTTGTACGTTTAAGCGGCGCCTGTAATGAGATTTAAGGCATAAAACTTAAGCTTTAAGCCTGAAGCCGTAAAAAATTTACCACAGTCGAATGTGAGGCTATTAATTGACTATTGGCATTTTTCACTGGGAAAACTAGTGCAATACAGTTTAATCGAATGCAAATTAATTCACATACTTTTAATGTTAATAAATAATTTAATTGCATATTCCTTATTGTCATGATAACCTCATAACCTTAAAAGGATTAAATTATTTATTATCAATGAAAAAAGAAGGGTTGAGGAATGGAAAAAAACCGATTTGCACTTAATTGCACCATAGTTTTCTCAGTGAAAAATGCTGTATGATTGGTATATTTCTTGTGGCTCGAAGCTTAAGTTTTGCGCCTTAAATTCTTATTGTAGACGTTGCTTTAAATTCAGTGAGGAACGAAAAGTGAAGCCTTAAGATATTTTCCTAAAGTCTGTTTTACTGATTATTTTTCGAATAAGTATTGAAATACTTAATTTTTAACTGCTTTTACATCGATTAAAAAATTCTTTTTCACAATTAAAGTATAAGGTAGTTCAAATCGATTGAATTTATGCCAAAAACAAAAAAATTGAAAAATCAGTTTTGTCAGTTTCTGGCATTTGGAGTAAGGATTACATAAACGAACAGTTGAGTAGAATTAGGCTTAGGTATCTAATATAAAAGATTAATTAGAAAATTTGTGCATGCGATATTGATGTAGCAGAGTGTGATGTCAGTGACACGTAAATCGTAGGTATGCAAATTCTACTGAATCGGTAAAACAGTCGACTTTAGGATCCTCTTAAACACAATGAAAAGCGCACAGGGAAACAGATTTTATCCTATCGGAAACGTATATTCTAAAGTGTGATCCACTTAACAATACAAGTGCTTTGTTGACTAATAGAAGAAAGAATTTTACTCCCAGAATTGACCAAGAAAATACTTGCATGTAAATATTTACATCATTACTGGAAAGAGTCTGATTGTATTGATTGGAATTTTGATTGAAAATGAACCGGAAATTTTTTAAATCAATTATAATTCTAGTTAGAAAAGCAGAAATCTGCTTGATATAATCAGAATTTTCTGACTCGTCCATTTTCGACCAGAAATTTTTCTCAACAAACATGAAGTAGATCGTAACCTCGTATACACAGTTTCTATTGCCCGTTTCATTTCATTTTGTTTAAAGCCTAAGACCAAGCATATTAAAGAATTTTTACAACAGTCGCGAAACTTCCTTTTCCGCTGAACGCAGCCATAGTTCGAGCGAGTGCCATCGAACGATTATCGATCGACGGTTTCAAGAGACTCGCTCTGCGGATTCGTTCGTCCCTGCGAAAAGACACGCGCGCACGCCGTGCACGTTATACATTACGAACACCGTTATCCCCTTACGATATACCACCGTCGTCGTCCTGCGATAGAAATCAGAAGTTGACCGAACGGATCGATCGTACTGACGAGACGAGTCGCCGATCGCTTCTCAAATTAGTCCTCGGCCGCGTGGAGAGTGTCCGTCAACATGGAATTCATTACGACGGACAATGTACGTTCCGAGCGTACAATGTGTCGTCCAAGGAATACATGAATACGAAGGCGAACGAAAACCCGGGAGAAAATAAACCGATGATCGACGGCGGAATCGACGCGCACCACTTCGCGCGTCCTCGAGTATATCCTCATCCGCGCACAGGCCCGAATAATCACGCGAGAGATTTTCACCTCGGGAATAATTTCTCCGTAGGTACGTCTCATCCGCCGTATTATTGGAAAGAAAGCCAAGATCAGCGAGAGCAAGAGGAAGGGGAGATGTGCTACTACGTAAGAGTGTTACTACCAGGTGCAGCAATGCGCATAATGGAGCCTGCATTCGGTAGACTCCATCAGCTGAGTGAATGCTCGCTGTCATTGGTGTATTCTTCTAGATATTCATCCAACCAGATTTTTAGGGCCGGGTATTCGTATACTGAAAAAAAATTTTCCGAATCTTGTTACAAGTAATGTATGTTTACATTTTAAACAATAACAATAATATATTAGGATTCTTGAATTTTAAACAATACAAAAAGATATATAGTAGGCTAATGAGAGTCAGCAATGATAAACGGCGTAATTATTTAGTGAGCAATCAATTATATTAGATATTGGATTGATGTCTTTTTTATTTTGAACGTTTCGACTCTTTTTGGAGTCCTCCTTAGCAAGAATGATACGAATATAAATAGCTCACATGTTCATAATGTTCAAGTCACTCGCAAAATTGACAAAGATGCGGCGTTGTTAACCATTACGGAACATGAAGCATTGCACTGAAGCTTTGTTGAACATATTAAAAAGTAGAAATGTTAAAATCAAATATAAAGATCACACATTTTTAGAACACACGTCCGTGTACGACGACGTGCCACTCAGATGATTTATATTTTAACACTGAGAAAAAAATGCTGTTACTGTGTAATCCAATTAAAGACTATATTATGGGCTGTCGCTAACATAAGTAATTAATTCATGTATATTTTTAGTGATATAAAGACCTTGATTATTGAAATAATAATTTATGCCTTTATGTCAATAAAGATATACATGAATTAATCACTTATGTTAATGACAGCCCGTAATATAGACTTGAATTGAATCAACAAACATTTTTTTTCTCAGTGAATATTTATTTGCAGTAAAGAAATGTTTACTTGGAAAGTTGGAGCTATTCAAGAAACAAATTACTTAGATTCAGAAAATTCTTTTTTCAGTGTAGTCAGATCTTATATTCAAGACCATCTTAAGTAGTCTTAAAAAGTCACGAACAAATCAGAGAGCCGTATTAGCGTCTTAAAACATTATTTGACAGTCTTGAAATAAGAATGGACTATAAATACCGTTATTAGATCTAGAAGAATCGATAGCAACTAGCGCTCACTCAACTGTTGAGTCTACTGAACGCAGCCAATGGCGGCATGATAAATCAGGAACCCATCCCGAATACATGAGCGCGAAATTCGAACGTTAAAAAAATGTAACGCGAAGGACTTTTTCGTTGGATCTATTAGGTTTGTTTTTTTTATAACTGCATTGAGAAAAATTTCTATTAAAAATGAACATATCAGGAAGATTTTGATTGATATCAATTAGAATTTCGATCATTATAATTTGACATAATCTGATTATCTCAACTAGAATTACCTATAACGAATTTAATAAAATCATTCTGACTCGTCCATTTTTAAACAAAAATTTTTTTTCACAGTATAGTATACACTTTTTGTACTTAAAATGAAATGTAATAAATATACATTTTAAAAAATAATACCATGCAATGTCTATATAATTGTCACTATTAAATAGATTTTAACACCAATATGATGTGAATTTACAACCTCAAGGATATTTTTTTAAAGTGTACACGTTCGAAATTTGGCGAAAGCGAGAAGGAAAATTAATATACAATCCAGAACAAGTATTATGAAATTGTTCGGAATAAATTTCAATAGAAATTATTCCCTAAAAAATACGATAGAAATCTAAGGAATAATTAAACAATTCCAATTGGAATCCATTCCGAATAATTGCGTGTTCATAACACGCACTAAAAATAAAAGACAAACCTGTTTTCTAAGTCGCGATTCTTTTTCTTTTTTCAAATAACAAGTTGATCTCAAGGTCGGATCATAGTCCTTTTTTATTTTAAAACCGTTTTAAGTAATGTCTTAAGATGCTAATAACATACACGCACACAAGCCTCTTTTAAGCCAGTCTCAACCATAGAAATCGATTATGAATACCGGCTTAACTAATGTCTTAAGATATTAATACAGTTTGGAAAATGACACCTTAAGACTGTTACTTAAGATGATTTTAAATATAAGAATCGAGTATGAATACCAGCTTGAAAAAGTGAGAAAAGTGCAGAAGAAAAGAACGACGCTCGAAATCCTTGCGAATCCTAAAAGAGGACCGGTGAGATGAGGTTATGTGCTGATGTAAACCAAGGGCGCCGGCATTTTCGAGGGCCGCTCGGATTTAAGCCCCAACTACACAATCGATTCGAACGAATTTCTATCGCGTGCCGGGACGTAATGTAGAAATAGAAAAGTCGCTTAAATCGAGCAACAAAGATTCTCTTCCGAAATCGTGAAGATGGCGTTGATCACCGATAATTGGAGCTCCTTTCCTCTATCTCGAATTACGCCGCAGTTACATCGAATCGTACGAAGAATATGATGCGAACGTTCCTTTATTTTTTCGCGTGAATCGTGTCTTATTATCACGGTTCGTCGCGCTTTGCCTCTTATTAGATCTGAGAATCGAATGTATATTTTGAAATGAGGTGAAAATTACAAAAGTGAGCAAATTTCGCTACAATATTTATAAAGTCTGTCCGTTGTACTTTTTGCATTGAGTACTCTTTAAAATCTTTAAGCTGCGTCTGCAATGAGATTTTAAGGCGTAAATTTTAAGCTTTAAGCTCTAAGTCGCAAGAAATTGACTAATCACAAATGTGAGGAGAATAATAGACTATAGTCATAGACGCCGCTTTAGAGTGAGTCTCACTGTAAAGAGTGAAATCTCACTCTCAAAGATTAAAAAATAAGCTGCTCATTTCCAAGCAGACTCAATTTTTACTCTTTGAAGTGAGATTCTATTCTAAAAAAATTAGAGTATCTTAGTTTTCTTCAATGCTCCAATATATATATTTATCTCATTTTAGTGCGAAAACTATTCAGATTTCAAGTAACGCGAACATATGATTTCAATGATAAACAACTAGTGAATTTGCTCACTTTGCTAATTTTCATCTCGTTTCAAGATACGCAATCAATCCTCTGTTGTTTTTAGCAGCTAACCTTGCAAGGTTCTCCACTTGGAGAGAAAAAAAAAAGAGAAAAGACGAAACGGTACAAGAAGTTCAACTGAAAAAGAGGCAGGCCTATTGGCCCCGATATCGGTGTCGACAAAATTACAGCGCAACAATACCGACCGCGTAGGCGCCGGCTTTGACTAAAGAGAGTAAGAGAGCAAATTGATCGAGACAGCGGAGACACGGTCGGCGACGACCGGCCGTTTAATCCCACCGATCGATCCGATCCTTCGCGAATCCAACCTGCAATGCGATCCACCCTGGGAATCGACATCCGCGGCGCGAGCGCGAATTATCGGCCGTGATTAGCTCCGGTCGAGTTAGTATCTCCAACAGGCTTCAACCCACTCTCGAAAAAACGACTCAAGTTTGCGTGATAGACGCACGAGAGAGCCGAACGTGAGAGACGAGGTGAGGCGAGACGAAACGAAACGAGACGAGACGAGATGAAGTGAGGCGAGGCGGCGGTGCCGACGACGACGACGACGACGACGACAATGACGACGACGACGACGACGGCGACGACAAGGCGATGGCTCGGGTCGTCGAGGCTTGCCTGCCTGCCTTCCTGCCTTCCACCCTTCGTCCCTCCCTTTTCTCTCCCGCGGCCGCCTCCCAGTCTTCTCGCGACGTCCAGCCGGAGACTTGGAGGTTACACACGGCGAGTAAATCGATTCACCGCTCTCCAAACTAAATCGCACTCGTCGAAGATCCGAAGCAGAGACGGGAGACACGACCGTCCCCCGGCGAACGTGCGGCGCGACTCACTTGTTTCTTCTTTTCCTTCTTTCTTTTTCCTTTGACTCCTTTTATGTACTCCTGTTCTTCGCTCTTCCTTCGTTCCGGCCGCCGGTCTCTCGCGTTCTCGCGAAAACGACGCGATTACGAAGTAAACGTGCGGCGATAGGGGGTCAGGCTTCTCCGTGTTCTTTTCACTCAGCACCGCTGCTTCCGTTTTCTTCCCCCGCACACCTCTCTCTCTCTCTCTCTCTCTCTCTCTCTCTCTCCCTTCCGCTCTGCCTTCGCTCTCTGCCGTCTCTTCGTCTCTCTCTTTCTCGTACACGCGCGGCAAGGCAGCGCACTTCCTAATACGTCTGCTGTCTCTCTCTCGCTCGCACGAGAGCGACCGTTTTCTTCTTTCTCGCACTCACAGACGGAGAGGCGAAGGCCTGGTCGAAGCGGCGACACGCGCTCGTGAAATTTCGTGACTCCGCCGAGCAGCACGCGCCGTTCACCGCATCTCTCGTCGCATATATGATAGACGCGGACAAATTTCCTTCCCTCTCGCACCTTCTTGTCCTCCCTTCTCTCTTTCTTGTCGTCTTCTCTCTCGTTCTCTATCAATCAAGGAGGGGAAGATCTATCTCTCTCGTCTTCGCTGTCCTTCTCTTTCACGGCATAGCGCGCTTCGTTTATCGGAAGAAAGGAGGAAAAACTCATCTGGAAGATGGCCGCCGTCTGCCAGTCACCGATTTATCCCTCTCTCGCATAGCGCACTCTTTTGCGACGGGGACCACCGCGAGCCACCCGGGGAGACCGCGGGCTCACCGCGGTCACGATGCACCGGGTCGTTAACTGCGACACTGACAGACGGCGGAGGGGAGGGATTGGGGAACCGGGGGACTGGTACACGATCACACGATGATCACACGACGACGGCGACGACGACGACGACGACGATAATGACAACGACAACAATAACGACTACGACGATGGATACGACACACAATAAAAACACGATGACACGAAACGGAAATCGTAGGATGCCGGTAAACGCGCGGCGCGTCTCGCGTCGGCCGCACTCTCGCTCGCTGGCCCGACAGTATTCGTACTAAAAAGCTCACCTCGGTTGGAACCGTAACGCACTCTCTTCTCGATACACAGAAGCGCAAACACGGAGGCACTCACCGTGGATACACACACACATACACACGCACACACATATATACATACACACATACATACACCACGTAGCACGCGCGCGCGCGCGCACACACGCGGCCTCGTACGTGTATACACTATACACTATGCACTGCGCGTCAACGGCACGGCACGGAGCGGAGCGGAGCGGCGTGGAGCGGAATGGATTACGGAGCGGAGCGGCGACGAGATCAGACGAGACTCGACGGTGGTTCCGCGGAGGACGCGCGCGCGGAGACACACCAAGGGACTTTTAATTTAAAAAAAAAAAGGGGAAGAAAGGACGACGCGGCGCCGCGTCTCTCGCGGGCCTTTTACATATATATGTTTTCCTCTCCTCTCCTTCTTTTCTCTCTCTCACTCACTCGCACGCGCTCTCGTGAATCGTGAACGAGAGATCTCGCGGTCGAGTTCGCGCGCACGCGACCAACCTCGTACGCGACGACACCTTCGAGAATACCGCGTGACCGTCACGACTGTTTTTTGTTTTTTTTCACTGGCACTACTTTCACGACGACGACGGAATTTTAAGAATGACGACGGCGGCGACGGCAACGACGACGACGACGACAGTGACGTTGCCAGTCACACACCATGGCGTTCGCACGGCCTCCTCTGTCTCGCTCCCGCAAGCCGAGCGGCACCTTACGGCGCTTCGGCTATTATCGGTGAGCTACGATGTTTATTCGGCGGCGCATCGGCCGACCAGTCACGACTCGCGGCGAGATCATCCCCGGTTCTCGCTTTCGTTTCCCTACTAGCCGTCCCGTCCCGTACCGTGCCGTATTCGCTGTGCGATGCGGCATAATTTTAAGGCCGCGTTCACACCGAACTGAAATTTCGCCTCACGCGCTAATTATTGAACAAGTATTCAATAATTGAATAAGAATTCAGGCACAAACGCATAACTGTAGGTATAAATTATCGGTATTTAAAAGATCTTTACTGTATTGTGTCTCAATAAAAAAATAAATATCTATTATTTCTACCAATGTTGATTAACTTTGTGATTTCGGTTTAATTTATTTTTTATCTCCTTCTAATTCCTTGAATTAGAAAAAGTGATAAAAAGTAAATGAAATTGAAGATAATTTAAGGTCTATTGTTTCTTGAAAAACGTTCTGAACGAAAACAAATATAATTTGTTACATTTTAATTTATTGTATTTTAATAAAAAAAATAAATATTTATTATTTCTATCAATGTTGATTAACTTTGTGATTTTGGTTTAATTTACTTTTTATTTCTTTCTAATTCTTTGAATTAGAAAAAGTGATAAAAAGTAAATGAAATTGAAGATAATTTAAGGTCTATTGTTTCTTGAAAAACGTTCTGAACGAAAACAAATATAATTTGTTACATTTTAATTTATTATATCTTAATAAAAAAATAAATATTTATTATTTCTACCAATGTTGATTACCTTTGTGATTCCATTTAATTTACTTTTATTTCCTTCTAATTCCTTGAATTAGAAAAAAAGATAGAGTAAATTAAATGGAAGATAATTTATTAAGATCTATTCTTTCTTGAAAAATGTTCTGAACGAAAACAAACATAATGTGTTACATTTTAAATTATTGTATCAATGTAAACCAGTTCAAAATATTATTTGAAAAAATAGATTGATTTTAATTTCAGTTTTAATCTACTCTTAAACTTCTCCCACACAATTATTAAAACTAAAAGAAGATAGAAAGCATATTAAACGTTCAAAATTTTCTTTCAAAAAAGCAGACCTTAGATTAACTTTAATTTCAATTTATAATCTATTTTTCATCTAATTCCTAGAACTAGAAAGCGATAAAAAAATAAATGAAGCATTCAAAAATATTCTTTAAAAAGGATAGACCTCTACATTGGTAGAAATACACGATTAACATTAACGTCGTGCAAGAAGGACCACCTGAGAACACATTCAGAATTAGATATATTATTTCTTAATATTTTGGCGAATGTTGATACTACAGTCATAGGATATAATTACAGTATAATAAGTCGTTTTCCAGATCGTGTGACGCTCCGACTCCTTACATTTTTTTTGTAAGCTGTACAAACGCGTTTTATAAATATAGAAAACATATTCAATTATATTCAACTTGTGTAGGATGGAGAGAGAGGTTTTTTAAATAACTTCCCCTCGCGATAATATAACATCTAAAGCTGTGCTGATCGCTGAATTATTCTTTTTCTAACATCTTTTGTTTCAATCGTTGATAAATCAATTAAAATTCATGCTTTTGATACATAAATACAACAGCACGCGCGCCTTCGTGTATAATTCTATCGTAAAGAGAAAATCTTAATAACTATGAAGTATTAAAATTCTACAGTTTTGTGGAAAAAAAGACGCCGCTACAAAATATACTTTGTAATAAATAAAATGTACGTGTTATAAATAAAAATTTTAATTAAAAACATCTACGTACAAAGTGAGACTATACCTTTTCTATACAATAATCTTTAAAGAGAGCGCGAAGCAAAATTCATGGTCCACATAAATTCAAGTCATTCGAAAAGAAGATTGATAATTGTTCTTTGATGGCAATTGAAAAAACCGACATTTATCGAAGACGTTTATTTTATTAAACGTTTAATAAAATTATTAAATGTTCACAATAACGATTTTATTTATTAGCAGCTTGATCGTTTTGCATCGCGCCGCTTAATTACAAAATACATTTCGTACATCGATACTTTCTCTAAAAATGTACACGTTCCACATTTGGCACATTTTATATTTACGTAAATAAAGACATACCTCAAAATCGAATCTTCGGAGAATTCGAGTCGTAGATTAAACTAAATATCACAAAGATGCACTTATAACAAATTAAATAAACTAGACTGCCGTGTGAACTGTTTATTCTGAAAACAGTGGTAGGTATGTGGGTGCGAGTACAGATTTAAATGAGATAAAATTGTGAGATTAGATATTCTCTCGATCGCTTTCAAAATAAACAGCTCGCACAATTCTTACGTATAGCTTTCTATTAAATAACAGCTTAAGATAAAATTTAACATAAAATTTAACAGATCAACTTTAATTTAAGGTCTATTCTTTCTTGAAAAATGTTCTGAACGAAAACAAATATAATTTGTTACATTTTAATTTATTATATCTTAATAAAAAAATAAATATTTATTATTTCTACCAATGTTGATTACCTTTGTGATTCCATTTAATTTACTTTTATTTCCTTCTAATTCCTTGAATTAGAAAAAAAGATAGAGTAAATTAAATGGAAGATAATTTATTAAGATCTATTCTTTCTTGAAAAATGTTCTGAACGAAAACAAACATAATGTGTTACATTTTAAATTATTGTATCAATGTAAACCAGTTCAAAATATTATTTGAAAAAATAGATTGATTTTAATTTCAGTTTTAATCTACTCTTAAACTTCTCCCACACAATTATTAAAACTAAAAGAAGATAGAAAGCATATTAAACGTTCAAAATTTTCTTTCAAAAAAGCAGACCTTAGATTAACTTTAATTTCAATTTATAATCTATTTTTCATCTAATTCCTAGAACTAGAAAGCGATAAAAAAATAAATGAAGCATTCAAAAATATTCTTTAAAAAGGATAGACCTCTACATTGGTAGAAATACACGATTAACATTAACGTCGTGCAAGAAGGACCACCTGAGAACACATTCAGAATTAGATATATTATTTCTTAATATTTTGGCGAATGTTGATACTACAGTCATAGGATATAATTACAGTATAATAAGTCGTTTTCCAGATCGTGTGACGCTCCGACTCCTTACATTTTTTTTGTAAGCTGTACAAACGCGTTTTATAAATATAGAAAACATATTCAATTATATTCAACTTGTGTAGGATGGAGAGAGAGGTTTTTTAAATAACTTCCCCTCGCGATAATATAACATCTAAAGCTGTGCTGATCGCTGAATTATTCTTTTTCTAACATCTTTTGTTTCAATCGTTGATAAATCAATTAAAATTCATGCTTTTGATACATAAATACAACAGCACGCGCGCCTTCGTGTATAATTCTATCGTAAAGAGAAAATCTTAATAACTATGAAGTATTAAAATTCTACAGTTTTGTGGAAAAAAAGACGCCGCTACAAAATATACTTTGTAATAAATAAAATGTACGTGTTATAAATAAAAATTTTAATTAAAAACATCTACGTACAAAGTGAGACTATACCTTTTCTATACAATAATCTTTAAAGAGAGCGCGAAGCAAAATTCATGGTCCACATAAATTCAAGTCATTCGAAAAGAAGATTGATAATTGTTCTTTGATGGCAATTGAAAAAACCGACATTTATCGAAGACGTTTATTTTATTAAACGTTTAATAAAATTATTAAATGTTCACAATAACGATTTTATTTATTAGCAGCTTGATCGTTTTGCATCGCGCCGCTTAATTACAAAATACATTTCGTACATCGATACTTTCTCTAAAAATGTACACGTTCCACATTTGGCACATTTTATATTTACGTAAATAAAGACATACCTCAAAATCGAATCTTCGGAGAATTCGAGTCGTAGATTAAACTAAATATCACAAAGATGCACTTATAACAAATTAAATAAACTAGACTGCCGTGTGAACTGTTTATTCTGAAAACAGTGGTAGGTATGTGGGTGCGAGTACAGATTTAAATGAGATAAAATTGTGAGATTAGATATTCTCTCGATCGCTTTCAAAATAAACAGCTCGCACAATTCTTACGTATAGCTTTCTATTAAATAACAGCTTAAGATAAAATTTAACATAAAATTTAACAGATCAACTTCACTATCTGCAACAAAATCATCATTCAGCGCCAAATGTGGCCGTTTGAGACTCACTCGTTTAAAACACACAAAAAAAAAATAAAACGAGTATTAAGTACGATTAATCTTCTACAAAGAGGGGAATCGTAAAGTAATAATACTACTACGTAAACATTCTTCACGTAACTACAAATATCGTGGCGAAGAAAACCTTCTTACCTTAATCAGATATACGTATGTTATCGTAATGACTACGCTAGTAGCGTTATGAATGATCTACACGTGTGCTCTAAGCTTAATTGAATCGTAATTTCTGCTACGATTAACGGCAGCTCTTCATTCCACGAATGATCGTCCACGATCTTGATGGTAAAACTAACAATTTATTCCGACGGATATAAGGATACAATCGATTTAACAACTATCTATCATGATTTAGATCTTTCATTACCGAATCTATCGAATTACAAGGGATCGTCATGTTATACACGGAACTAATCGTACGGTGTAATCTCGACAATAAATGGAGGTAGCAATATTGTCAATAACAGGATTAGCCTTAGTGAAATGAATTATGGAACAATGTACAATGTTTATGTCTTGTCGGATATCGGCTGTCCCAGTTTCCGAACTTTCCGCCCATCCTCTACATGTAAATCCACTATTCACGACAGTACAAAATACTGAAACCCTGCTAGAAATTTGCCACGATCGATAACGCACGTTGTGACATATGTTAAGCATGTCATTTTTTCTCATATTCCTTTTATACGTTTAAAGAATGTACTCTTGCGGTCCAAGCAGTAAATGAGACTAAGATGTCGAAATATTACACAAAGCTCGGGCAAGAAATCATTATGACAATCGCGATGTACGTGTATTCTGCACTACTTTTTATGTACAAAGGATACAGGTACTTCTTAAGCGAGAATATCTCTATATATAAACGAAACCATATTATTGTACGTAATATAGATATGTGTAGAATAGTTCTTAGAAATAGGTAAGATTTGTGATAGAAAAAATGCTTTCTATTATTTAAGGTTTAAAGTTGATTAATTTTTCGAGCGTCGCTTAATTACGTGCAACATTGAAAAAATAGAATAAAAAACCACTTGCTACAGTTATATGTCTTTTTGTGACGAAATTATGTATCACATATCTTACATATATAAATCATATAGAAATTATATATACAATATTCAGCGAAAATTACAAAAACTTGTACTTAAATCAGCAATATATCAGCTTAGCTTCTAGAATTTGCCCGGCAGCTTAAAAAAAAATCTCTTTGCGAAACTGCATATCACATTAATACAGTCTGTTGTACGCAATTTTAATTTCGTACTTTATACTTTCTCTCGTTGAAATTAAAGTGCTTTAAAAAGGTCGGTCGTTTAACAAGCACGAGTCTTGCAAGAAATCCTTTGTTTCAGTTTTTACGTATCTTTATCACACAACTTTGTCCGACTCTTACATTTTTAGCTTCGATCACTCGCCATTGTTTTTCATTGGCATACGTTTCCGAATTAATCAAGATCTACAGTAAACTCCGCGTTATTAGTAGTAGAGATATTCATCTCCTCGTCTTCGACAGACTCTTTGTCTGTGACGCTGGATACTGTGTGATGGTTGTTTGTCGTTTGATTATCAATCTTTGCTTCATCGACCGGTTGAACTGTCGTTAATGTGGTCCACCAATTTGAGAATGCCCCTTTCGCTTGCGACAGTGCTCCCCCTTGTAAATTGTTAGTGCCAAGAATAATATTTCTATGCGTACACACACGCGAGTCTGATCGCATCAGACGTCAAGCGAAATTAAATTGGACATCTAATTTAATATTCCAAATTATGGATCTTTTTTATATAATAATTACATTCAAAACTGTACATGTAAATATAGAACATAATAAATCTGAAGAGATACGTATATCATTTTTCAAATACGTATTAATATGCAGTTTACGAAATATTCGTATTTAGAAATTGACAATACATTTGCACTACAAATGCATTATTATCCGGCTTACATTTAAATAAATAAATTATGCAACCTTACCTACGGCTTTTCCAGTGGTAGCCACTGCGCGTCCAGTCGTTGCCATTGCCTGATTCAACTTTCTACCGCTTTCTGTATTTTGCATCGTGCTGGAACAATGAGGTTTTTATTTTTTTAAATATTGTGCTCTTAATTAAAATTAAATATAGTGATGCAGGAAAACAATGGAATGAATTCATTCTATTTTTTGTTCCTTGCACTATAAATCTATATTTCATATGTGAAATTTAACTTACTGTGATAACCGTAATTTCATATCTTGCACCGATAACTGACCAGCGAATGGGTGCCCAGGTTCTATATTGTGTATCTCTGATTTGTTCGCAGTGTACCACGTTTTATAATTATTTGTAGTGCGCCACGCGGACATGAATGCTGCGTTGTAATGATCCGACTGACGAGTATCCTGTTGCATGGAAGTACGCAGCATACTCAACAGATACACCCGGAACTGTGTTCTGATCCATTCGTCGCCACCCTCCCATCCCACCCCGTCCAGAAAAATATCCTTCCGAGGCTCGGCTACATGCCTTACGACGTAATCGGCAAATCTCAAGTCCTCCGTGGTGAGATGCAGCTGCCGCCTCAGCTCGGGATCGGTCGCCTCTATCCGCGTATTTTCAATCTTTTGTGAAGTGTAAGCGATTATAAATCAAACCATTTATATTTGAATATACATTTAATATTATTTAGATTACCTCGACTAGCACATCGATGAGTTGCTTCTTTTGTTTAAACAGTACATTTGTGGCACCTACTATATATCCTCTAACATTAACATCCCCCAAGAGATCCAAATAGGGCAAAGATAGGTAAGGTAAGCAGAGATATCCCTAGAACAATTATATATTTATACAATATTTAAAATGTTCGAAATGCAATATGCAAAATTTTTATAAAAAAGTGGAATGATATATCCATAGTGAATACATCATGTATCATTACCTTTGTAAATAATTCCAAAGGTAGGCCGCATAACTCTGGATTAATGTGCGCGATTTGCGTAATATTATTCGTTAATCTCGCATCAGAAAGCGCATCGCTACTCGTGTCACGAGGTAAACTATTATCTGTGTCACCAGTGCTTAATGTGATAGCGTTCACACTGTGTACCCTATGTACGTTATCGTTCGGCTTCGGCGAATATTTCGAATTGCTTTCCTCTAGGTAAGATTCGGTGCATTCCTGTGCCGATTCTATCTCGATAACTTTCATATTCAGATTTTCATTGTCGTTGTTATTCTTCTGTAAGGTTACATGCTGCAAACCGTCCAAGCATTTGCCCTCCATCGATTCCATAGTTTTGTTGTCGTTAATGCACAAGGAGTTTCTATTGCTGTTATCGTTGCATTGCTCGTGACTCGTATTCGATATATTATCTTTGACAATATGAGTGGATGACAAGTTGGAATCGTCGACATTATTCGACATTTCTTCTTCATCAAAAGTCGGAATCGGAGACATCGGCCTGGATGGTCTGTAGCATTTTATTTATTAGATTGCTATTAACATTGATATGTTTACTAAAAAAAAAAAAATTAAAATATTTCCATAGTACCTCACACATGCAGCTTGTTGGAGACCATGTTCGATCATGTCTGGGAACAGCGACAATAGAGTCAATATCGTGGCGCACAGTGGCTGTACAGGCGATTGATAAAAAACTATCCTTTTTTCAAGCAGGAGTAATTTAAACAAGAGCAACACTTTGTGACGGAACTGTAATATAAAATCTCTCGCAGATAAACCTGTAAATAATCGATATATATATATAATACAGATGATAATTATTAAACACAGAAATGTATTGATAGACAATTACCAACAAAGATTTGCGGCGGTATCTGACTTTCGCCGCTCATACATGAATTAAGATGATGATAGGTATCCTCCAGTAAGGACACTTTACTAAAATCCCCTTCTTCGAAATATGCATGTGTTATCAAGGCCATTTTTACTTGAATATGTCCATACAGAGGCAAAGTACTTAGCACGCAAACCGACTTTTGAACAGTGCCTCTCGTTATATCAGACGTGCGATTTTTTAATTTCTGCAAACACAGTAATGTTCTATTTTACATTTATTCAGAATTAAAACTTGTATATGATCTTGTAGGAATGTCTTAAACTAAACACATCCAGAAGACGTCTCTACGTCCTATACGGACGTTCATAGGATGTCCATAGGATGTCAAGTATTAAAACTGTCTAGGTATTGAAATACCAAAAAAATACTTTTATATACCTCCACAGGTATTTGGCGGAAACATGAAATGCCATATATCGTTCGTTTCGGATCATTCAGACTAGGTAAGTGAAAATAGACCGTGTCCTCGTCGTAGTTGTGAGAACCGTCGGGTAGAGCGAGAGTGGGCAGATACTTCCAACCCAACGGGCATTCATTAGGCGCACCAGGTACCAAAGGTGGAAATGAGTATTCGACCTAAAAGGTGACATTACGTTAAGACGCGTTGGATGTGATTGGAAACGCGCGGAGCGTCGATGTAACGAGGAGGAAGGTTAATCTGGCCTGTCATTCTACCTGGCAGCCTTTCTTGTGGTGAAACCCGACGACGATGACGTGAAGAATCGGCCCGCTCGATTCCGCCATCCTTACGGCTCCGGTGGTGACAACGACGCGGCACTTCTGGCAGCTGGAATACCTATTTCCACGGGCAACTCGCTCGCATCATTTCAAAACCGCGAGAAATATCTGTCGAGCCAAATGAGCTGATAGCGGCAGACATGCGATTTGACATGCGCCATGACGCATATGAACATGTGTCGACTGAGCGTTCTGCGCACACATACACACACACACACACACACACACACACACATATGTAGATATATACGCACGCGTAGAACGTTATCATCAGTTATCATGAACGGTTACTACACAATAAATTTATCTTTGATATAATTCGGAATTGAGAAATTCTTCACACGAGATAATTACATCCACACATCAATCCACGTCTAGACATTCGTGAGTCATGACTCAATAATGCTTAATAACTATTCAAGAAGGTTCAAGAAGGCACTTCGGTGTAGTAACGTTCAAAAAAATTTAAACAATGAGTGCCTCACGGCACAAAAATTTGGGTAATTGAAATATGTTTTTTATAAACTTATCAGTACAAACAATTCAATAAATTATACATATATTTGCGCTTTTCTAAACAATTCAACATAAAAAATTGTAAAATAGCGTTTTCCTCTTTTACATCTATATCACATTTATATTGAAATTGAAGTCAATGAAAGGTATCTCTGTTTAAAAGTATCTTTGATTTAATAACAAAATGATTCACATATCGCAATACAATTGTTACGTGTGTATATAATAATAATGTGTATATATACAAGTTCTTTTATTACACAATCCAAAGATACTTATTACACAATCCACGTTAGATACTTTCAGTTATCAGTTATTATACAAGTTTACAAACTGAAGCAATTCATTTTCTTTGTAACAAATCCACGCTTCCATCCCATTATATCTGAATTGCAATTTCGTTTTATAAATATATAGAAAAAAAATATATAGAAAAATAATTATACCGTGCATGTACATACATACAAGTATATATACATATATAAACATAAATATAATTATTTTCCTATTTTTTTTCTATTTTTCGATCTGTCACGTAAGAGAGCACCAACAGAATGCATTGACATTTCGTTTTCATTCGAATAAGTCCATTTTCTCTTGAAATCCTTGCTAGGCTGCGTCTACGCACGATGACAATTCGCAGGACGCAGCTCCGAGAATATCTTGTTCGCTCTAGTTGGGAGCGCATTATTCTATGTCATTGGCCTCATAGCCGTTCTCCTTCCCCATGGCAGTGAGTAGGAAGGAGAGGAAGAAGATGGGTGGAAAGAGTCAGTCGGAAGACGCGCTACCTGCGTACATTGAAGCCCCGGGTACCATCCGGGCCGGCAGGCATACGAACGACGTTGCTAGGAAAATTGTTGCCATTCGGCGTGCTCGATTTTGCCTGAATTCTGTTAATCTCCTGCATCGTCTTCTCTTCTGGACTCTTCTCTTCTCCCAGGATCCTCCTGCGTGCTTCTGCATATTCTTGCTCCCGCTAAGACAATTCGTTACATTCTCATACGTTCGACAGTACAGTTTTATGGACAAATTAAGGATTTTCCAGCAAGAAACTCTGATGATTGACAATATAACATAGAATCATTATATCTTGGTTATTTGCAACGTTAAATAAAAATCAAATGATTCACTGTAGAGATTCTATAACAGAGTCTGGCCACAATTTTATCAAAACAAAAAGTAAGAAAGAAGGATATATATTGTCTCTTTTTGTACATGCTATTTTATTCTAAATATTATTTTATTTCTAATTTAATTACTGAAGTTAACAAAAATGATGGGCCAATAAAAAATTTGTGGCTAGAGTCTGTTATAGAGTCTCCAATTCATTGTGTTACACTGTGTCTTTAACGAATTCACTTGCATTATACTAACCCATACTAAGCTGCTATACATTAAATTAACCAAGTTAAATGTAAAAGTATTTATGTATATAAATATTTTAAACGATTAAATACTCAATAATGATATCATTGCATTATTTAACAGAAGGCACATATATTATTTTATTGTCAAAGTTGATTATATTATTTCACTTAGATTTATATTATACAAAGCATTTATATTATACAAAGCAGTTTTTAATGTGTACTAATAGATGATGCTTTCCAGCAAGAGACACAGATGACACAGTATAACACAATAAATTATTACACATCCTTGGATACTTTTCATTTGGTGACAAATGGAAAGTCATTCTATCTTTGTTACTTTTTGAATGTCGAAAAAGATGATGTTTGTGTCACTGAATGGAAAACATTCCTTGTTCGCAAATATTAAACAAAGATAATATAAATAATTCACAGTATTTTGATGTATTATTGTGTCTCTTACTAAAGCACTTCTAATGTAATGAAGTAATCGAATTCACCATGTGTATCTCTTGCTGGTAAGCATCCTAAATTACATACCTGTTTAAGAGACTTAATAGGTTGTTTAGGTTTTTCATCGTTCAATGGACCATCACCGCTACCCCGTGAATCTGCAGTAGGTCTCTTTAATATCTTTACCATAGGTTTTGGAGGTACGTATTGAGATCTAAGGCCATCTTCCCCTAATATAATCATCCTTGTATTGGCATCGTTACTGGTTCTATATCCAAAATATTGTTAAATACATAAACTGTACATTGTACATTATAAATATTTTCTTCAGAAAGATTTAAATGACTTAAAAGCATGAAGGAGAAACAAATTCAAGAACATTCACCTAAACCTACCTAGAAGATTCTATTTCTTCCTCCACTGTGTTCAACCGAAGAGCTTCCAGTTTTTTGTCAAGTGCCTAAAAACCATCAGAATTTTCATCTCTCTTCTATATATCATATAATGATAAATAATTTCTATGAACGAGATCGAACGGGAGTGAAAAGAAATTTTAGGAAAAGAATTTTGTACAAAAACGTGTCCTTATGGCAGCATAAAGTACTACGATTAACTCGTGTGAATCAATCTATAAATTAAGGATCGCGATGTAAAAACAACGAAGAATACAAGCGCGATAGTCGGGATGCTCCAAAGCGAGAAAGCGCGAAACGACAAACCGCGGAAAGTCTTCTCATCGTCGACGGAAACTCCGGAGCTTGAAAGAGGTTATAGGTTAACACAAGACCGTTCGGTCTTACACTCCGATTTGAAAAACGAAATTCTGAGATGTGTCTTACTCCAGATTCCTCAATCTGCTCCCAGCTTTCGAGAACTTCGTCCATGGCCCGGATGCGTCGCGAATTTCCGCAGAAATTTTTCCCGTAACTCGCGTGCAGCGTGCGAATTGTGGTGTGCTGCGAGGACTGGAGTACTGGAGTGGAGATTTGGAGAACAGCACACCCGTGGTCGGATTTCTGGGGACGTTGTTGGGGACGGTGCTGCCCTGCGTCGCGATTGGCACTCAAATAAGCAGAATTGGCAGTTCATTGGAAACCTTCGACTCTCATTGAGCAATTCCATTGAATTCCACGAGCTCGGAGTTGCTCCAAAATGCTTCAGAATTCACTACGAGGCGAACCCGTCGACCGGAGATTCGTGAGGCCGAAACCGCGTTAACGGAAATAAATGATTTTTCGGGGTGATCAGGATTTGGAAAAATCTTTACTTTATTTCTATCAGTGTAGACAAACTTTAACTTAATTCTTCGAACTGGAAAAAGGTAAAAAGTAAGTTATAAACTAAGATTAAAGTTAATCTATATTAACAACCTAGAACTCATAGGAGTCTCCTGGAAACTCCCGTTGGGCGACCAATAAGCGTGTTGCATGATGGACGAATTCGTTCCATATCCATGTGGGACTCAGCTCGGTCGGTGCTTTGACCACACCGTACTTTGCCTGACTTTGCACGAGGATTAGTTGACGTTTGATTGGACTCCATGTCGGGTCGGGTGTCAGCTTTTTAACGTCAGATTCTGAAGCCGCATGATGAACCGTACAATATCGGCGTGATACCGGATTACACAGTGTGGTTCTACTTCTGATTTGAGAAAAGTATCTCAGAGTGGAAAATATGACGGAGATAGAATGGTGAGAAAATTTATTTTCGTTCAAGTGTCTATTATTTCTGTCTGCAGAACATAAACAGTATTATTACATCGATATTGTTATTCTTCAACAATATAATTATAAGATGACACATGTTGTACATAACATGTTGTTACATTGTTAAGCACTCTCTAAATTCTTTGGAGTGGAATCTCACTCTAAAAAGTGAAAATTGAACCTGTCTTAAGAAGTAGTACTTCAATTTTCAATCTTTAAGAATGAGATTTTATTATTTAGAGTACAAGACTCATTCTGAGAATTTTAGATAATAGAATATTATCCGCTTTTTATTCTTAGAATTTTCTTTCTCGCTTTCATCAAACATATATCTATCTCACTTCAAGCTCCAAAAATGTAATTTTGTCATAGCAAATATACCTTTTGGTTGCTTTCCCTTTAGTGACACAGTCGACACAAACATGACTCTATCCTTAAATTGTTGGCATTCAATGAATAATAAAGATGATATATGTGTCGATATTATATCTCCTAAAAGAAAAGCAGCCTTCAACATTGATATAATGTTATATATTGTTTAGTTTGTTTTCCAGATGATACTATTATTGTAATAATAAGATTTTCTTCTAACATAAGAAAATGATATTATACAAAAAAGAAATTTTCTTGCAGGATATCGAAACCCATGGAATATGGGATTGTAAAGTTTGCATACCTGGAAGAAGCTATGGAGCATCCTTTAAAACCAGTTGTAATCACTGTAAGAAATAGCTGTTACTGGAATACCATTTTATAAATAGATTTATTCGCGTTATTTGTACTTTTTGTACTCAGTAACTTCGCTTTTTCTCTCTTTAATGTCAGAATATGTATTTATCTCATTTTAAATACAAACATTTTTGGAGATTTTAAACACGAACAGATCTAATGTTTCAATTTCTATCTCGTATTCTATCTTGTATGAACAATAAATTTTGATAGAAAATTTTTTACTCTTATATAGCTAATCGATGGACGTAGCGCAGCTAGACGAAGTGCATTGCGGAGTACAAGTACCAGTTCCTCCACTGGAACACCTACACCAACACACGCATCGATTCCTGCAAATCTATTGAGTGATCCATTGTTGAATCATCCTTCCCTAGACGGTTCTGATCCTCTTACACAATTTGCTCGAGAAGAATTGGATCCTCTCTCTAAAATGGCTGCAGATGAAGTAATACATTTATTTAGATTTAGTTACGTTTTTATTATTTTTATAACTTAAGTTTATATTATCTGCGTCATAGTGGGATTATTCTAATGTTGCACCTGCGGGTAAAAAATCAAAGGACACAGCAGAGGAATTGGTAGAACCATGGTCTGTTAGACGTTCCGCTATACTGAGTAAATATACCACCTCTGAAAAATTATCGATTGTCACCAGTTTCTTACCAGGTGGTGAAAAAGGTATCTTTTTAAAAAGATTATTAATTTAATTTGTGAAGGAATATTAAAATACAGTATCATTTATTTTAAATTGCTTATTGATTAATAACTTTTTAAATTGCTGCAATGTTGCTTCGTCACAGTTGTAGTGAAAGTTCAGCCGAGTGGGCCAATGGTCGACAAGGTAAAAACGCGACTTGAACAATTAGACGATTTTGAGGAAGGTTCTGTTCGGCAAATGTTGGACTTGTCGCAACAACAATACACTGCACGAATCGAACAATTAAACAACGAACTAGTACAAGCATGGCATTCCGACCAAAGAGTAAAAGCGCTCAAAATTGCAATACAGGTTTTGACACATTTATCAGCTTTTATAAGAGAACTTGGAACAAAAGAACTTACGATTTAGGAATTAATGTTAAATTATTTCAGTGTGCCAAATTATTAGTAGATATATCCGTAATGGCTTTTTATCCGAGCAAGTTTGTTCTCATCACAGATATTTTGGATATCTTTGGAAAACTTGTGTATGAGAGATTGAAAATGAAGGCTGAGTATTACAAGTAATTATTATATTATATAAGAAAACTCTTATTTTTTAATTGCATGTAGTTTATATTTTTTTTTATCGAGCAATTACAAACGTTATTTATAGTATTGATATTAATATTTTTTTCTTAGACCAGGAAGTAAAGTACCCACGAGTTTGCCTGATAATTTTACACCCGACATGGTTCCTGAGAACGCGAAGGAGACGTGTCGGAATTGGTTTTACAAGATAGCTTCAATACGGGAACTAGTACCGCGTCTTTATGTAGAAATGGCAATAATAAAATCTTACAGTTTTCTAACGACTAGGTATGACTTTCGTCACTATATTCGTAATGTTGTAATAATATGATGATTGAAATATTAAAGTAATATTTTTCATTTTAGTGAATTTAATACTGCTTTATTACGTATAACTCGTATGATAAGAGGTATCGGAAATCCATTGATAGCGGTTTACGCGAGATGTTATTTATGTCGTGTGGGATTGGCGTTGAACAAAACATCAGACTTCGAATTTGTGAGAGAAAACCTGTATGACTTTCTTTTTACGTATCAGCAGCTATTTGGGATCGCTGTGAGAAACGAAATAGTGAAGCAAAATGTTACCCTTCATTCGTATCTTAATTTATATTCGCCAGCTTTGGATTGGATCGTACAGGTTTTAGTGGCGACATCGCCCGAGAGCCTTTTCGAAGAGGTTTTATCTCGTTGTAAAAAACAAGAGAACGGGTAAATATATTTTAAACGTATATTTTTAATTTATCTTTAATTTTTAACTTTTATCTAATCGATGTGTATATGTTTTCAGATCATTATTATTAAATACAGTGTTGACTGCATTTAAACCTACTTATATTGCAGCCCGTGCTATGGATTTTGTGAATTTAATAGTAGCGAGTGAAGACGATGGTATTGAGATTTAAAAAATTGAAGTCGAGAATATAGTAACATTTTTAAGTTACGTTTTCTCTTTTTAACATAATAGGATATCCTCAATACCTCTTATATCGGAGTTTGGGAGAATGTCTTGTACGAGAATCTCCGCCGAAAGAAGACTGTCAATCGGTGCTTAATGTGATATGGAAGTACATAACGGACCTCACAGATCCCAACAAATTCATGCATTGCGTCGAGATTTGGATTCAATTCACTGTTATACACTTTTCTGTAAGTTATATTTGCACAAATAATATTTAATTATACTTTATATGAAATTAAATTATTATTGTACATATTATGTTTATAGGTAATTGAATTAAATTTATTTTTCGGCAAAGTAATAGATCGGCTACGACCAAACAAAGCTTTCGAAAATTATTATTCACAATTGCAGAATATTATTGAGAAGATAGTTGCCCACACACAAGATTTTGAATCATTGCTTGCTATGGTAACTATCCGCGCTATTATAACGCACATATTATTCATATTTATTCACGTAATTTTAAGACGTTCGATCTGTTACAAATTATTTGACGTTTTGTAGGACAATTTTTTACCTCTAATCGATTTGTTTCACAAGGAAAGTGTTAAGGTTGAAGTTTGTAAAACTGTCATAGAAGGATTGAGTGTGCAAAACGGACCTATTACGGATCCTATTATTATAAACGCTCTGATGTTTATTGCGAGAATAATGCACGATTCTGTTAGGTACATCAATTTAATTTCACGATTAAAGTTTATCTTTTGATCTCTAAAAAACAAATCATTGCAGTGCTCTAACCGTCGAAGATGAGAAACGACAGATCGGACAATTAATATGCGGACTAGTGCAACGAGTAGATTATGGTCGCGATTTTGAGAAGCAGCTTAGTTTTTACGTAGAGGCCAGGGCAGCATTTCCTAATCTTGATAGCGTTCATATACAACTTGTGCAAGTATGTGATACATATATGTTTTACTTGATAATACATAAATGATTTTTTCTTTTGTTGATATATAAAAAAAAAGATTTAGCGGTAATAAAGTCTTTTTTTATTTGCGCTTAGTGCGTTAATAGATTATCAGTTGATACTAGGAAGATAGTACGTGGTCATCACACGAGAAGAACGTCAGCGTTTGTACGTGCCTGTGCTGCATTCTGTTTCATTACTATACCATCGTTAACTCTAGTCCATACACGCCTTCAATTATATCTACTGTCTGGACAGGTTGCCCTTTTAAATCAATGTCTAGGCCAAGGTGTAAATTGAGTTAATTTTTATTTTAACATTAACACATTTTTTTTTTTTCATTAATTTATATACGTAAATTGGCATTTTTCAGCCGATGCTTGCTTTAAAGCTGCTTTGAGTTTAGTTCCGGAAATGCCGAAAACCATCGATATCGATGGAAGACAGAAAAGCTCGCAGCCATATTTGCTCTCATACTTATCGAATTTCTTGTCAACATTGTTAGTAGTTCCTGTAAGTATATTGATATACACTATGTTTTTAATTTTATGATTTTAAGATTGTTCTATATTAGGATAGCCCAGAGCATGGCGTCCTATATCTGATGAGAGGCTTGCTCAATGCGGTTCAACGTTGCTTTGAGGAGAATACCTCAACCAAACCATATTTATATTTACGTGTACTCGATCTTCTTTCAACAGTAGCGCAAGAAAATTATCCGTATCATATCGATAAGGTATTTAATGCTTTTGTGCATATTTGAAAGAGCAAATAAATAACTGTCATATTTTCGATACTTTAAAATTAGAGAAATTAATTATAATCTCTAAAATTTTTATGTCACATGGCATTTCAGGTTGACTCAAATGATAAATTATATGGATCGGATCAGAAATTTATCGGTGAAGTCAATAAAATATGTTCAAAAATCGTTGAGGAAATCTTAGGCTATCTCAAGTATCTTGGATCCACCGAGCAATTCGATAAACAATCAGCTCTGGCACTCGAACTGTTTAATTGTTTTATTATTCGTGCAGATTTACGAGACACTGCATTAGCAAACATGGCTGTAAATTTGTGGCACTTATCACAACGACACGGTTCGGTGGATTCTAAAGTGACGGTAAATATTTGGAATAATCAAGATTTAGATTTTTTTATACATTGTTTTGCTTTTAAAATCTTTATTTCGGATATCCTTTTCAGATGAAGACAAAGGCTTACATGACACAAAAGAGTCATCACCGAGAATATGAACATTTTGCTGAAATACTGAAGAAAATGTCGAGATGAGTGACATTGAGACTTGATAACAATAAGGATCTAGTTTAAACATTTTTTATTGGCAGTTTTGGAAGACATTTTGTAATTATGCAATAATTTGTCTGATTATATCAATGAAGCCAAAATTAACAAATAATAATAAAAATATATAAGAAGATAATAAAAAAAAGATAAAACAGAATATAAATTATAACAATTAATTGTTACAAGTTAATATATAATATTATTAGTTAATATACAAGTATTGTATCATGCAATATACAAGTATTGTATATTACATATTAATAATTGTGTATTGTATATTACAAATTAGTATACAATATACAATTGATTGTTAAGCATCATTTTATACTATATTTTTTCAAATATAGCAAATGCTGCTCAATATATGAAATGTATAAATAATCGATGTAGAAAGAATTTCTACTCAATAAAAACATTATTGTTCTAAATTTGTTAAAGAATACATTTATATCATAACTTTTTTTGAATATTTTCTAGTTTGTATCGAACTATTCATATATACTTACAACTTATGAGACAATCAAATATTGTATATTACATCATTTAGTTTGTCATATTGCATTATTCATTAATTCACCACTTATCATAAATTCTTCGTAACATATCTTTATAATGTAACTGCCATAGAAAAATAATGATTATTTATAGACTTCATAAATCACACGATATATCTCCGATGAGTACTTCAATATGGAAGACATCTGATTTGGAAGACACAAGATATTGTCAAGATGATTTTTATTTTTTTAAAATAGAGCGAAGCGTATCCAGAAATATATCGGCATGATGCTCTGTGAAGGTCAACGCAGGCCTCAGCCGCACAGCCTGGCTGCCGCAGCCACCTGTCTGAATACCTAACAAGAACAGAGGAAAATACGAACATTGAAGATATTCTTAGCACTCACATTTTACGTTACAACATTATCTTACCTTTCGTTGCAAGTTTCTTGATGATGCTATCTCGCGCTTCAGACGAGGGGCAATTAAATGCTATGAAAGTACCACGTCCGCGCACTGCACTAATTACATTGGTATGTTCCTTTTGCATATCCATCAAATGTTTTAACAGATAATTGCCCACGCACGTAACTCTATCCAAAAGATTCTCTTTTTTAATCGTTTTTATAATCGTCTCGAGCAGGATCACTTTGCTGGGATCGCCCATCCAAGTATTGAACACACGATATGACAGTTTCGGTCTGCGTGCAGGTAATTATACGTTAATACTTAAAACATGATTTTATATTATTTTATCATTGAAAAAAAAAAGATTTACTTCAGATCCTCCGAATGATAATAACCGCCTAATTGCATTTTCTTGCTGAAAGTCATTATGTCGGGTGGAGTATCTAAATTAAAGTGCTCGTGGCACCACATTTTTCCCGTTGGTCCGCCACCGGTTTGCACTTCGTCGACAAGTAACGCGGCTCCATACTGAAATATTTTAACATGAGATTGCAATATATCTTTTGATAACGTAAGATAATTACCTTGCATGTTATGCCTTACCTTTCGTATCAAGCGTTGAAGTTCCTGAAAGAATTCTGGGGATGCGTGATTGTCGCCGCCTTCTGCTTGAATAGGTTCAATTATCACACCAGCCACTGGTATTTTCTTTTCGTTTTTGTACTTCTCAAATAATTCCTCGACCTAAAATATCAAGATTTTTTAATTTTCTTATGCGAAACATTTAAAGAGGTATTTAACACTAGAAATACCAAATAATATTATTATAATATTATTATTGATCATTTCTATTTTTTAAATTAATATTATATTTTTTGTGTAAAAGACAGAATCCAAAGTCTTGACTTTTCAGTAATTATGTTTTTGATAATGAAACACTTAGTTTTCCATCACTTTCTTAATTTTCCTATTAATTTATTTGCTCCTTTATTTTCCTAATTAATTTATTTGCTTGATCCTTTTAATAAGTGAGAAATATTAATTCTTCTGGTGTCACAATGTACAATAAAGATTTGACGATATACCTCTGCGAGGCAACGCTTATCTTCCTGCTTGTTTTCTCGCACGTTTTCTTCTAAAGGATATTTGTACTCTGGAAAGGAGGCGATAGGCCAGTCGAAAGCTGGTATATCCATCTTGTGAATGTACTTGCTGTGAGTCGTTGAGAGACAACCTAAGGTTCTTCCATGAAAGCTACCTATCGATATTAAATATTTCATAAAGATTCCTAATTGGAATGAAACTTGTTTTCATTCGAACAAATGACTGACCTTTAAAGGACATAATAGAGTATCGCGGTGAGCCAGGGATTTGGTTCATCATACACGATTCTATCTCTTCCTTCGTGAACGGTTTGCCTTGCCTTTGTTTCTCGGCGTACCAGATAAAAATGTTTTTAAAAGCATTCTCATTAGAACAAGAACCGCACATCATTGTCGTAATGTGTGATAATCCCGGTGGTGCTAACTGTCCAAAATAACAATTTTTTTCAATTACGTCAAGATAAAAGACGATACAGGAAATGAATTATAGTTTCAGCATATATCTGTTTACCTCTTTCTTAAGTAGAACATCTCTTAATCTATTAGGCCAGTCTTTTCCTGGAAAGACACCTAAAGCAGGTCTATTCACTATAATTCTCTGAAAAGAATCATAATCGTTAATTAATTATTTTTCATACAACTTGAACACCGTCTTCGTAAAGTAAAATAATTTATATGAAGGTATATCAAGAATATTCGATTATTATAATAGAATTTCTTTTCAATACTGTATACTTAAAGTATAAGTGATCTTGTAGAGGAAGTTAGCATGCAAATTCCATATATGAAAAAAATATACGGTACTCCGTGATGGTGTGCTTTTATACACTCACTTGATTAACGGGATCGGCGAGAGCCTCCAGCATCGCCGGATGATTGTACCCTAGAGGCATTGATGAGATTTGCATATAAACGTCCAGCAACACATTCCCATCAACGTCAATTATGTAATTACCGGCGGATTTTTCATAGTCTGCGAAGAATTGTACGGAAGACGCTTGCTGAAGTCACAGATTTCAACATTGTAAATCCATTTCGTCTCTGGTTTATAAAATATTTATAAAAGATTTGACATTATTACTCATATGTGTACATTACTCTTATGTGTACATTTAAGTCTACATATAGTATAATTCTATATGATAAGTATATATGATAAGTATTCTATATGATAAGTATAGATAAGATAGTTCAAGTTATGTAGTACAAGCTACTACATAACTTGAACTATTGGATTGAAATTAGGCAAAGCGTTCAAAATATCATCGCGGATAGCAAACGACTAAATTGATGAATTAAACAAAATATCGTGCCATGATGTCACCCAAAGAATCAAGAGGGTCTGACGTACTTGTATCGAACTTAATTCTTGTAGCAAGCTGCGCGATCGAGGGCCTGGTATTTCGGTCATAAGTACCGGCCCTTCAGGTTCCCTCGGCATCGAACCGGTTAAGCATCTCTTCCACGTAGTAATGCCTGCATGACAATATTACATTTATATTTGAACAAGTATTTCTACGTGCAAATTTCTACATTTTATTTAAATATACAGGCTGTCCCGAAATTCAGAAAATCAAAATATCACGGCAAAAAGATTCTAAAAAAAATTTAAAGGTATTATCAAAATGCCTTACATTTTTTTGTATGCCATAGTCTTTAGTTATCGCGCTGAGTCAGGCTGATGAGTCAGATGAGATAAACAGCCGTTTAACCATAATATTTAATTGATTTATGATTTGAAAATCTTTATATCTCAAAAACTACTGCTCGAAAAATGGTAAACAATTTATATTTTATATTTTATATTTTATATTTTTGGAATTTTCTTACTGTGAATTTTGATTCGTAAATTTGGAGACATTTTGTATATTTACTTTACAAAAAATACATATATGTGTATATTACACATATAAATTTTTGTGCGCTTTTGGATTTTATTGACATATCTACACCCGAGCAGAAAAACAACTTAACTCGCTAAATTGTTCTACAACTCTGATGATCAGTTCTATTGACGGTAGTTAAGGATGATTGCTTGATACAGTGTGATTTTATGTATTTGAACCCCTCATAAATCACTATGTTGCAATGACGTGGCATAAAAGCAAACGCACAAAAAGTATGAATAAAGAAAACAGAGATTGTAACAAGGAGATTGTGTTAAAAACAATTTGTATCTCTAGACATTGAAATCAGAATTAAAAGATAAAATTCTCATTTAATGATATCTGATTATAAGATATGATAAACTTTTGTGATTTTGATTGAAATAACATGTTTGAATGATGAGCTCTCCTATCTTAAATATCAGATCGTCTATTTGATGTCTGAGACATCTTTACATCACGATCTTTATATCTATTGACATAGAATTTAATTTAATCTAATATATGTGAAGTAATATAAAGTTGACAATGCTTATTTTTTGTTCCAAAAAATTTTCTACTTTTTTAAATCAAGAATTAGTTGTTTAAAATTAAAAGAGATTATAACGAATATCCTCTTTGGATTGTATACATCTCGTTGATACTTTATATTTAATTTACTTTGTCACACTGAAAAAATTCAAAATGACCTAAAATATTTATTACCTAATACTAATTCATATTAATACTATTTATACATATTAATATTATTTTATTGTTATCCATTTTATCAAGATTCAAAAATATCGTTTACACAAAGCTGTGTCGTTAACACAAAACTGTGTTTTCTAAAAAGTCGATTTAAAATTAGCATTACAACGTTCAATATTATGTCAAAAATAAACATTCTTTTTTCCTGTTATTTAAGATTTTGAATAAGATTGATTTAATTAACCTTTTGAATGAAATTAAATCAATTAAATTTAACAGAAGAATTAATTTTTTTAATAAAGATATATATATATGTGTTAAAAGTATCTATCAAAAATACATTGTGAGAAAGTTATAATATTAATTTCTATTTTAATTCACTACTTTTTGCTTTCTGCGATCGCTGCTCTGTGTAGGGATTTAAGGTTCGCGGGGCGGCGAAGCAGCTGGAGCCAGAATGAATTTATCGATTTTCTTACGGTCCACGCAGCATCCGCGATAGAAGAGCGGCGTGCTCGAGGATAGATTCTCGTCGCCCATTATGTGAATTATACGAATCTGAAGAGGAATGAAGCAGTATAAATACCGTTTAGCAGCTGTCGGAGCGAGATCCGCCCACTCAACGCACGATGATACTTGTTAACAAGCATTTCCGTTTGAGACGAGAGCACAGATACAAGGGCTACTCAGCAACGTCGTCTCTGCCGAAGGGATGGAGCCGTACTGGTCGCTGATACGCGCTGATAGTGTTCACCCAGTTTAAAGAGTCACCCAGTCGAGAGTCTCGTGGGGGCGCGAGTTGCTCGAGCAGTCGCTTCTGCTCAGTGAAAGAAAGAGAGAGACAGAGAAAAAAGAAACAGACAGAGTGAGAGAAAGAGAGAGAACTCATTATTTCGTGTATATCGTCGTAGGAATTTATCATCAATTTCAGAATCGAATACCACAAGTATTAATATTCTACCCGGTGCGCGGAAAAAAAATTCAGCACGTACAGCAGATATTTGGCAGCGCGTGTGAAAGATACCGAAGGCAAAAAAAAAAAAGAAAAAAACATCGGTCTCTTTTCGCGATGCTCCGACTGCGAAAGCAGTCGCTGATTAATGCGAGGTATCAAATTGTCCTTGCTTGCACAACTGTCTGTCTGTACGTCTGTTTCATCGTCAACGAATACCGTTGTACTTCGTGTCAGGAATAGTACTGTAATTCCAACGGTTCCACGTGGTGAAAGTGAAAGTGCAATTTCGGGCTTTTTCTTCATTGGTTATATCATTTAAATGCGTAACAAAATTGTACATGTAATTCCCTAAAAAGAAGTCTTCCTTTGAGTATCCCTCGTTTTACGAGCCTCGTACATATTTATCATAATCATTTACGATGTTAAGTTATGTCACATAACAAACTTGTAATTTGATGTTAATTTAATGTTAATTTGGCGTACATAATTAATTAAGATATAATCGAGATTCTATTATTATTCTATTATTATCATACATTATTCACAAGAATTATTGAATTTGGTAGTTCAGTGGTGGTCGTTATTTGACCACCACTGAACAATACAGCTATAAATATATCTATACATATATTAGGTTTATCGGAAAGTTCGTTTCAAATCTTGTAAGTTCAAGACGCAATATTTCATTCAAAGTGTAACTTTATTGAAACAAATATGTTCATAATATTCAAGAAACAACGTTCAATTGAATAAAATCAAATTTGTAGATATAATAAAAAAGAGCTAAAAACAACAGTCAGTTCTTAATTGCTGCTATTTATAATCATCCTTATAATATACATTAAAAACAAACGTTTCATCGACTATAGGTCATTCTCAATATTAAAGGTAAAGATTATAAATAATTATGTCACAATGGATTCCAAATTTCTTCTAACAAACAAACGTTTAATAAAAGCCGCATATCTAAATTCTACTAATTAATCAAAATTAAAAAATGTCCTAATAACGCATAAAACGTTCAAACAAAAGTCATGTATCTACATTCTACTAATTAGTATCAAATTGAGCTTGTATTTTTTAAATGTTTGATAAAATTGCATTTGTGAAAAGCTGTTGAAAAATTGTAATGAAGATATTATAAATTATGTATTAATATTATGTAATAAAAGTAAATTGATATAATGGTAAATATTTTGATCGAGTTCCAACGATATAATAATTAAAGTTACAAATTATTCTTAATCTCGATGTTAGATTAATTTTTAACAGATGCAGTGTTATGAAAAGAACTTCTATCTTCCAGAGTAACGTTCTATTTTAACAAAATAAAAGCATAATAACGATTAAATAAAGAGAATATCCTTTGTAATTGGGAAGTTCAATAGGAATGGGAGAAGGGATAATAAAGAAAAGTTTAGATTACAAAAAATACATTCAATGACCTTGGTCCATCTCTCGGGTAACTGCACGATGCCCTTGCTCCAAAATGAATGTTCCTTATTGGCGAAGAATTGATCGTAATGAATTCTGAGGGCTCGTGAAATTGAAACGAACTTTCCGAACGATCTAATATGTACACGTATATAGATGTATGTAGATCTACAGGCACGTGCCTTCAGTATACATAGTTGAAAGTGTTTATGCTGCGCTTGACCCCATTGCGAAAGGCGGAAGGCAAATAATCAGTTACGATCGCTCTTGTCTCGAGACAGAGTATAAAGAAATCGATGACTGGACAGGTTTCAGACGAAAGCAATAAACCAATCTGTCAGTCAGTGGATCTTATTTGACAGAATAAGGATACCGTATTTTTCTCATGGTTCGAATACGAACTTTATGTTGAAAACGTGCGAGCATGCGAATGATCGACGAGAGGTCGGACGATACAATTTCGAGCGAATGCCAAATGGACCGCGATCGAGGATTTTCCAGCTTTCAGCCTCTGATCATCCCCACTATACAGGTGGGACCCATCCGACTTACCTGGAAACCACGCCTCAAAGTCCTGTGCCTACGGTTGGAGGTGGTCGTGTTTTTGGGCAGCTCTGGGCCGTGCACGACGCACGCACATTGTCACTCGCGTGAACGCACTCGAGTGGGTCCGTCCGATCGTGCGGAACTGTCTTCCCAGGTGACAACCTGCAATCCATTCCGAAAGAGAACACCCTTTCCGAGAGCCGATTCTCACCTGCTTAACAATCCGATCAGGCCGAGCACGTGCACTCGAGTGAGTATGACTTTACGGTACCGATATCTACCGACTCTACGTGTCGTCATTCATAATTTGTTAGTACCGGACGAAGCCGGCGAGGAGTGATCCAAAAATTCATTTAATTATGGCATCAATGTCGATTATTTCAAAGATCGATCGCGTAAGGGATAGTTTTACTTTTATAAACCAATAAGCAATTACATTGCCTGACAAAATTTGACTTTTTTTTTTGCAATACGTGTGTGAATTTCATTTTCGATTTATTTTTGTTGCTAAGTGAATTTGTTGATCAAATTTGGCTCACGTCATAATTTTTGAAAAAAATGATGTCAAAAAGATGAAAATGATGATTTCGAGGGTTTTCATGACACTGTTAACACTGTTAATAATTTTTTCAAAATTTTATTAATGCCACGCGAAAGTATCAATTTTTGGCTTTAAAATACATTTTGTTTCATTTCGGTATGTTTCGTTTTCGAGATAGAACAATTTAAAAATAGCTCTTTTCTTATATCATAGAATGATCATTTAGTACGTGAAAAGACGTTTTATTTTATTTTAATTCTACATTATATGAAAAGTAAGTGTTTTTGTGCTAACGTAGTATAAAAGGTAATAGAAAATTAACAAAATATGAAAAAGTAAGAAGATTATAATCTTTAATGAGTTAAAATTATAAGCTCTTTGGTGTATATAATGTATTTTATCAATTTCATATTGCTTTTTATTTTGTATATGATCCGATTATACTACATTAATATAAAAACACTTTCCACATAACGCAAAATTAAACAGAATAAAATGCTTTTTCCACGTATTAAGTATATGAGAACAGAGCTATTTTCAAATCGTTATTTCTTAGAAACAAAAAATCTCTTATAAAGAAAATGCATTTTAAAGCTAAAAGTTGGTACTTTTGCGTAGCATTAATAAAATTTAAAAACAATTTACTACACGATAGCCAAACTTGGATAACGGATTTGTGTGTATTCAACAGATAAAAATATATCGAAAATAATTATTCACACTCGTATTGAAAAATAATGTTGGGCAATATTATCAATAATGTGATTCTCCCGTATATATTTGCAAGTCGATCGAAGCAATTCGCGATACTGAATCTCGTCTTTAAACTTGATTGCTCCCGTAATCTCTAGTCTTTAGATGAATTTGTGGCGTTCTCGCGACCTTGACTTGACGTGGAAACAGAAGGTGCGTCAATCTCTTTTTTCCTTTCTCTCTCTTATTTTACTATGCCGTATTCTCAAACCGGTGCAACCCGGCGAACCCGATTTTAATTTAACGATTTCGCAATTGGATAGATCATCAATCCTTGAGTGTGATCGACAATCTCTTTTTTTTTTATTGAAAATGCAAATGATAACACGATTTAATCATTAGAGAAGAAGATGGTACATTATATAGCACCCCAGTTACAATAACTTCATTAATAATCAATATTTAAGTTTAAAACTTGATAATTACATTCGTTAAAATGTTGTTGAATCGATTCTGGACTCAAAGTTACAAAATATTTATTACTTAGGATACTATTATTAAACTATTAATTAAAATGTGGCGACATTGCATAATAATTCGAAGAAAAAAATGTATGGTAATGTGGCCTTTCATAAAAATAGCTTTAAAATATTAGCTTTATTTAGAAAACAGTATTTAGTTATAAAATTAACAAAAAGTAAGACATTTTAAAATGTATGCAAATGAAAGTATAAGCTACTTAGCACTAAAAAATTTCAATACTAAAAATAGTACACGTAATATAAACTATAGATTAATAGTAGAGCTTATCAATCGATTATTAAATAATTATTTTGATATGAAAACTTCAAAAAAGAGGTTTGTGAGTAATCAATATCCATAGAAGATCACATTAGCAAAATGCTATTGTTTAAATTTGCATAACTTAAAATATATACAGTCAAATAAAATGTTAAATAGCAAATAATACTCAAAAATACATATATTCCTGATAATATGCTTAAATTTAAGAAAAATGAGGAAGTAGATGTAATTAAATGCTAAAATGTATCTCAGAAAACGTTTCGAAAAACTTGAAATACTTAAAAGTAAAAATGCATTTTAATAAGTGCTGATTATTGAGTATTAGTATTATATATTAGCATCATGTTGTAACGGCGAGCTACTAAACAAATAATTCCGTAAGTAATCATTAGGATTCTCTATATTTAATTTAATTTAATTTATATAATAGCGGAGATATTATATATATTAAGGGAGCATATACACTGGCAATATATACACTGGTCATAATATCACCTTCTTCTCTACACATTAAAATACTGTTAAATGTTCATTGATCGTTAATAATTTTTACTGGTCATTGTCATCAAAAAATTGCCTCTTCACGATATTTAATGCACATTCGCGAGCCGTATCGATAGGTGTTATGCGTCTCCGTTTCTTGTATCAAGAGTTAATAGAATTTATATTAGTTTCAAGAAAACAAGGATTTTACAAACGTTTTTATGTCACGAGTTTATTAACTGATAAAGAGAATTGCCCTTGCAAATGACTCATAATTTATGACTGCAACTTTCGAAACGCGATCGACCCAATATATGAAGAGAATACGATACGAGGAGGATTTAAACGCCGACCTTATAATCGCTCGTAATTATGCGGACTTATCTTTTCTTGTTCCCCCCATTCATCTGGTATGTTTATAAATCGAGATATTAAACCAATAAAGAAAACTGTCAGTAGGTCCGATAAATTTGAACGAGCAATCTTGTACAGTTATAAATATAATTTAGGACGTGTGAAAAAAAGATAAATTGACACGGTACTGTAAATCTAACGGAAGAAGATGGAGAATAATATTGAGAAAGAATTAATTGTAAATGACTGATTTAATCCGGGCTCGCAGAATCGTTCTCGGTCATTCGCTTCGCGAAGGAATTCGGCACGATACTTGGCTCATGTTTATTCTCAAAGTTAAAATTCCATTTATTTCGCATTTTACAACCACGATTAGCATCACTTCTAAAAATTGACTCCCACTCGCGTGGGAGAAATTTCGATGCTAAAATCGCAGTACAGTAAAGAGGTCGAGAAAGAGTGAGGAACATTGTTTTCAGAACCAGACAGCCTTGCGTTATAAGTGTTAGATTTATGCGTCATCCCGCTATGTAGCTTTGAATTCCATTATGTCGCATCTCCGTCCACTTCACGCGAATTCTTCCAAGAGAATTCCCTTCGAAGGGAATTGGCTGTGCTCTCTTTCATTTAGCACTGCGATTTGACCAGCTGCTCTCGACGAAGGTTAACCGGGTTTGTTTTATTTTCGCTGAATCTTTCGTTTTAATTGGACTACAAGGCAAATGTGTCTCATTGTGGCTCCACAAATCCTGTTATTGCGGAGTCACTTTTGATCAATTCAACCATATAAACTGTAAATTTGTTGCACACAATAAAAGATTAAGACTCAACAAAGAATAAAATCTATATGTATGTAATTATTGTATATAAAGATTATTGTTACATAATTAATATTCAAATAAAAATAATTTTATGACTCTAGGAATAAATCAAATGTAAATAAAATAATTAATACAATTAATATTAATTTTAATATTATTTGAAATATTAATTCCTTTAATATTAACATTTTATAAGAATTGTTATATGTATATTAGATATTGAATTAGTCGCATTTGAGGGTTACAGTTATACCATCGTGTTAAAAAACGATGTAGAACTTATTACCGTTATGTCTATTTTCAAATCAAAGCATCTGTCGCAAATGATGAATCTACAGTTTTATCTCATCAAAATTCGACGTGCAAATTCAGCTGCTGATTGAGACTGCGACATTGTAAATGGTTCATATTAGAGCCTAATGGATGCTGTCACTTAAGATCACCATATATCTCATCGCGTGTCAAACAGCTGTCAATGACACGTGTACACGTCAGCGAATTTCATTTTCATTCGATATGCTAATCCATGTGCAAATAATTACATTTTTATGATTAATCGAAAACGAATATCAATCCTTAATCTTCACCTTAGTTTTTGGCACCCTTACTACACTAATTTTTATCATTTTTACAAGTATATAAAAATTATTAAGCAATTTGTATGTATTTTGACATCTTTAGAAAATTGTATATTTATAATAAATTTATATAAATTGTTTTATATATATATATATATACAATTGTTGCATATAATATTGTTGTATATAAAAAAATGAAAGAAAAGAAATGCACCAATGACCCAAAGGTAATCCTATTAGGGTTAAGATTTCTTCTAAACATCGACATAAAAATTTATATTCTTTATCCGCTGAAAGAATGCCCGGGACGATCCTTGGCGCCGATCCTAATCCTACGCTACGTGTATCGCTTGATAATATGTGACATAAGACGCCAATGACGTTTACCATTATTGTCGTAACGATACCAGTGGCACAATACACGTTGCTTCACTTTCTTACGCAAGATTTGGCTTCTACCAGCTGATTCAAGGACATCCGGCATGATCTTGTTTCTTTGTAATCTCATTCCCCATCATCGAAGACGGAACTCATCACTATGCAATTGAAGTTTTGGTCACAATGTCTAATTCCAAGTTTGGAAAAGTTTTCATGCCCCTGAAAACTTCTCCTAATAGGAGTTAAATGCGAGATGAATACGAAGTTCATAATTGACCGAGTTAACATAAAGCTCGACGTTGAATGATGCACCGCATCGCTTCGTTTATTCCGTAATGGAGTTTTTATCTGTCTATAACAAAGAATGATAGCTTTTTTAGACTATATTTTACATGTATTATTCATTCACTATTTAAAAATCAAATCACTTCGACCGTACACGAATAAACAGGAATACTTTACTAATTGCAGTAATACTATGGTTTCAGGAAAACATGATCATCAGGCATCAACGAAACAATATCCTGCTCGTAGCATTACATTTCTTCATGCAAGTAAGATTTTGTTTTTTTTTTTTTAATAATGTGAATGACAATTAAGATTATTAAAAGGATTTTCCATTCTCTCGATCGCACAGAGGCCTTTTTATATACATTTTAAGGAAGTCCAAAAGGCCTTGTTTTTTGCCAATGGCAATGAAAGTTCGACCAACTCGTTTTTCAATATATTCCTTAAATACGCCCAACCTCGTACAATTCGCCGTTTCGCAGCACTTTCCCACAGACGCGCCCTTAATATCTCACTCACGCGAGTAAAAGTTAACGAGGCCGCCCATTTAATGGCATTGCATTGTATAGCACGATCGAAGCAAGGCGCAAAGTAACAGTTTCATTTTTACGCAATTATTTGAATTACTTCTTGCTCTCAAACCTACCTTTTGTCACGAACCTTTGAAAAGGTACTCGACATCCACGGCCATGGAAGATTAATGGATCCGCCTTCAAGAAATGCAATGTGGCGGTTCGGCTATCCGAATCCAGTCAATTATAATGATAATGAGCTTTTTTGCGGTGGATACGCAGGTTCGTTCTTGCAAGTTACGATTAATCCGCTGTAATCATCGTGGGTGTTCGGCGTTAAAGCTAATATTGACGATGGCTATTGTTCATCAGTGCATTGGGAGCAGAATAAAGGCAAGTGTGGCGTTTGCGGAGATGCATATCACTCGAGTCAGCGTCCACACGAAGCCGGTGGCGAGTTCGCAAATGGGATCATCGTTCGACACTACACCTTGGGGCAGGTAATGTAACTTCTGATATTTTCGCACACCAACGTAATGCATGCAAATTTTAAATAGTACAATTATTTCGTTATATTTTCGTTGTATTTATGAAGAAAATATCAGCTGCTGAAACTCATAATAATCAAAATCAAAATAAAAAGGCATTTGTTGTATAATTTTTATTGCACTGAAAAAAAAACCGAAATTACAGCCAAAACATTCGCAGTTGTTATATGATATTTCAACAACAAATGTTTTAATTCTATTCTCTAATATCTGCGTTTGGTTCTTATTGACTGTTCTTTTTCATTGAAAAACAATGCTGTAAACAGTATTATTTTAATTGAAAATAATCTCGTCGATTCAACAACAGTATTAATGAAAGAAATAAAATTTTATTAAAACAAGAGCATAATATATTTGTTGCAGTTTCATTAAAAGTCATTGAATAAACAAAATTATTTTCAATGAAAATGATACTATTGATACAACATTTTTTTCAGTGTCTTTTTTGTGGACTTATGATACTCGTTTTATTATACAATATCAGTATAATCTGTTTAAAGGAAATCGAGGTGGAAATAGAATTAACAGCCAATCATTATGGAAGATTCGAGATGTATCTTTGTCCTAATAACGATCCGTCGCGCGAAGCAACTCAGGAGTGTTTCGATTCGTAAGTGATCTCTACAAGTGGTACGTGCAACTGCTGCTTTCTAATGCATCTTAATCGCATAGTTATCCTTTGTACGTGTCCGGGACGCAGGACGTCCGTTTTGAAATTCCGCACGACACAGGAAAGAAGGGCATCATTAAGTACATGGTAACGTTACCATCGTACATAACGTGCTCGCAATGCGTCATTCAGTGGAACTATTACACAGGTTACGAAATTTTATCGTGCATTACTCTTCCCGTTTCTTCCAGGTAGCAAGATGTCGTCTTATTTAATTAGTCATTTCTATGAACGAAGGTGATGCCCAAACGTCATAAAAAAGACATGGGGCCGGTATTCATAGTCAGATTATAATAGATCTTATAATCAAAACCATCTTAAATGTAGTTTTAAGAAGTCACGAACCAATCAGAGAGTCGTATTAGCGTCTTAAGACATTACTTAAGATAGTCTTGAAATAAGAACGGACTATGAATACCACCCATGGACTTGTTACAGTCATAAACCAATGTTGAAAATATGTTTTTATTTTCATGTTACTAACAGCATAAATGAATGACATTATTAATTGATCACTAATAACGTTACCAGTACGTCGTTAATTGGTCATCCATTGACGTCAATAAGTGTAACATTGTAAATACCCCAAGAAATGCACCAAGTTAAGAGAAAGTTAATTCACTTTATAGTTAGTTCACTTTATTTTGACGTCACGGCAATCAAAATGATGACTTTTGTTACAAAATTTGACAAATTGATATATTTATTGAGAAATGAAGAATCAAAATTAAATCATTTTGATTTTTTGTTTTTTGACTCTTGTCAAATTTGTTTGTTTTTTTTGGGACATCATAGAATGGATAAATAAATGATATCGTTAATTGATCAAAAAGATAACGTCATTATTACATCTTAAATACACTGTTAGAAATGCTTCCTTCACATATAAATAAAGCTCGTGGTTATGAACGAAATTAAAAGTAATGAATGATTTAACTGAAAATTAAGTTGCAATTACTTCAATGTAATGAATGTGTATTAAATTTCATGTACATGTACGCAATATTTTTTCTTTTCAGTTATATAAATATATTAAATTTATAATGTAATGCCATGAAATCAAATTCAAATTGTATAACTTAAAAGTACATTAAATTTCATAAAATGTTTTAACAGTGCAGATAACATGACGTCACCAATTCGAAATGATTAACTACTAACGTCAAGGACGGAATCCATAGACGTTGCTCAAGATTCGAGATATCTTAAGCTAGTGCTTGAGATGTCATGATCCAATCAGAGAGTATTAGCATCTTAAGAGATTGCTTGAGATTGTCTTGAGATTAAGGACAGACTATGGATTCCGACTCAAAATGACTACTGGCTGATCTTGCTACCCTGGGCTATGTCGCTTCGAGAGCGATCTCTTATCACGTCTGTTTTACTATCAGGAAACATGTGGGGCACCTGTGAAAACGGTACAGAAGCCGTCGGATGTGGAAGACCAGAAACTTTCCGGAACTGCGCCGACGTGAGCATCGTCACCAGTACCGGTGGGATACCACCGCGATTTTTGTATCAGAATATTCTTTACGAGCTGTATTCGATAGGTCCAAAATACTCCACCGCGCCGTTCGCACGGCCATTGAGGTGAGAATCGTTGTGTTAAAAGGATACGTTAATTCGCGCGCGTGTCAGCGTCAAACGCTCAATTGTTGTCGATACGACACGCACGTGCATGGGTTTCACGATTTCAGAGTTCAAGTGTGCGAGCCAACTGCGGCTTATCGATACAGGCAGAATATGACCAATTGGTGTCAAGTGAATTGCATTCGCATCCCGTCGAACTGTCCGCCTGGTGTCTGTCACTGCCTGTGAGTATCCATTAAATTGATCGGCGCGCGAGTTTAAGCAATAAATTGTTATTGACTCGGAATTGCATTAACCCTGCTAGTCTATTCTTTACTATACGATCATATCATTTGGGTCAATATGATTAAAAAACTTTAAAAAATAAAAAATAAAAAATTTTCACGGAAAATTGATTTTAACGATAACGAAGTTATTAAATACTAGAGAAAAAATTTTTTTAATAAAATATTAATAAGAAGGTAAATTACATTTTGAGAGTCAAATTTATTATACTATCATGCATTGTTTAGGTAGATATGACTAGAAAGCTCTAAAAAATAAAAATTAAATAATAATTTTCACAGAAAAAGGTTTTACATCATCAGACAAAGTTATCAAATATAGAAAAAAGATTTTTTTAATATTAGTCAAAAAATAAATTACATTTTGTTAAATAGATCTGAACGGACCAGCAGGATTAAAGAATTAAATGATTATGACTTTCATGACTTTTTTTTTAGTATTCGTATTTTCAAAAATTCCTCTTTGATTCTTGTTTCGATATGATTACAGGAACACTTGCGACGCTATTGGAGATATCGCTGATAAACCTGGAGCGGACCAATATTGCCTGAGACGTTGCATGCGTTATCCGTCGAATTGTCCGATTGATCGCTGTAACTGTTATTGAAACTGTAAACCATGACCGGTATTGACATTCTACATACAACGTTAAATGTGGGATGTGAATATGCATAAGTATCGTCGAATTAATAAAAAGTCTGATCGTAATATGAGTAATTTCGCAGCTTACTAAAAAAAGTACTTTATATGGATAATACTATGAAAGTTTCTCTGTACAAGAACGTTTCTCTTACCTTATTCGTGGCTGCTTCTTCCTGGAAAATTTTTGAGATACGCTGTAAATGTAAAATCCACTTTGCTTAGAAATCCATGATTTATCGAATTCTCACAAGCTAAAATTCTATTTATAATTTTATATCTTATGCATGATATATATTTCAGTTCTTAAAAATATATATTTTAATGTACATTTTAGATATGCGAATATTCCATAGATATATTTTATTTCTTCAAATGTTTCTCGTATTAAATACGACATATAAAATTATAAATAGAATTGTATAATAATGTGACGCAATTTATAGATTACTTAAAGTGGACTTTAAAGTAAAATTAGTCAAATAAAACAGAAATAATACAATATACCTGCTCTCTATGAAACGTGAGAGAGGTGAGTGACGAAAAAACCGTGTAATGGCACTATAATATTTAATATTAGGACATTCTATTGACAGCTTAAAATTTTTCACGCGTATATCACATATTATATACGTAATCGTCAACGTTCCCCGCGGTCTTACGATATATTAGTAATGCAGCTATGTTTAACGAAACGATGAGACGGTTCACCAATTTCACGCGCTTCTCCAATCGCCAACGAGAATTCGTAATTAATGATACCAATTGGAAAACGTACGAGTTCATACGTTTTCGCAGCAATGTATTGTTTATGTATATATTATACATATAATCATAAATCTCTCCTCACTATAGTTAACACTTTACAAAACTATATACACTAAAGCCATCTTTGTATCGTCTACAACGCTAGCTAGCAACATTTTCTTTTTTTCCTTTCATCTCTCATATATATAACATATTCTTATATATATATATATATATCGGCACGCGCCTTCATACGCGCAGTATAATAATAATAATCGTCGCCAAAGTGCGTAACATTAGCGCATCAAGTTAAAACTCGTGCTACGCCAAATTCTAGCGCGAGGTGTACGATAATACAAAGTTCATCTATCTGTCACTTACTGCTAATTGCTATGCAACTAATTAACGTCCGCGGTCGGTTGCGGTTTAAATATTCGTGTACTCTCTCCATCTCTCTCTTCCTTCCGTATTTTCCACACGACTCTCCGCTTTATCATTAATCCTCTCATTCCCTATCGATACGCAATATTATGCAATTGGCGGAGCACTTCTCATTTCGACGGATTATTTCGTGCATTAATAATGAGGTAAAATAAATCACGTTAAATTATTGTCTTTATTTTGATAGATACTTAAATTAAAAGTAATAAATATTGTCGACGTGTTATTGCGCTAATTAAATTTAACTAAAGCTACTTAGATATTGGATTCTTGGGGAAATTAAAGAGAGGTATAATTTAGGAGTGGGAGGATTAATCGCGACACGCAGACAGCCGCCTCGAGCTTCGATCTTATGGACGATGAGCGAACAGATCGAGAAACATCCTCTTGGTACTTTATACACTGTCGTTTCGACGAATGCGTCCTCAGGACGACACAATTACGAGAGAAGTTGCGTTAACTTTTCGCGTCAGAATGTAAAAGAAAAAAAATAAAATAAAATAAAAGAATCGTTCGAAGATCAAATTCCAGAACTCGCGAGAAATCATCGGAAAATAATGGTGCCTCTTATGGAACTGCGGAAAGGAAGGTAATTCTGTATCAAATGCTCTATGTGCATGATTTTTTCTTTTCTTCTTTTATGCAATTAAGGGTGCGGTTAAAGTTTACTACAAATGCTTTGAAGCATTGGATTGACCAGTCAGAAAAGAGAATTTTACGATTGACCGATCAAAAAATACTTCAAAGCATTAATCCCGAAACGTAATAGGTGTAATAAGCTTTAAGCCTTAAGAAACTGATCATTTATAGTCGGTTATTCTTCTTACATTCGACTGTGATTAATCAATTTCTTACTGTTACTTCTTACATCAAGCTTCTTAGAGAGAAAAAATTTACTACGAATGCCAATCCTATACCATGACGGCAAATTCTACTTGCAAATATGGACATCGAAAATTATTTGCAGGTGTAACAAATACTTATTTTTTATACTCGCTACAAAAATTATTATATTTGCAACAAATGCAAAATATTTGTCAAGTATACAAATTTGTTTGCTATAAACAGCAAACAAATTTGACAAATAAATCTTGCAAGCCTTTTGCGTTTGTAGCAAAATTATTTTTGTTTATATATTATTTCACATATTGTAGACGACGCATTTAGATGTTTTAAGCCTTAAGTCGTAAGAAATTGACCAATCATAGTCGAATTCGAAAAGAATAATCAACTATGATTCGTCCATTTCTTATGGCTTAAGGCTTAGAACTCTATTGTAGATCCGGAGTTACGGAAAATGGTATCCCTTAAGGCTTACTACACTCATTGTAATTTTAATACGTGGTACAATGGCAGTAGCGGATGAGACTGTAAGAGTAAGAAATTGACCAATCACAGTCGATAATTCTTCTCACATTCGACTGTGATTGGTTCAATTTCTTACTTTTACAGCCTTATCCGCTACTGCTACTGTCATTGCATGTTTTCCAATAAGGACACAGTGTAACACAGTGAATCATTACATTCTCGTTGTTTACGTTACACAAGGACGAAATGATTCACTGTGTTACTCAGTGTCTGACCGTTTATTTACTGAAAAACGCCAATTATAGACCACGCATAAAGTCCATTTTATTACAAGTCGCAAGCTGTAAGCCGTAAAAAATTAACCAATCATAGGTCGATTATTTTTTTCATATACAACTGCGACTGCCCAATTTCTTACGATTTACTTGCGACCTTATCGTAGAACAGGCATAAGACTTACCATGATACCCAACATCAAATCACCGGGAACGTTCGGTCATTCAAACGTAACGGATGTGTTTATTTGCTTTATCGATGTGACGTCGCTCCTCACTGTCGACAACTCCATTCTTCGTTTCAAGATCACGGTGTACAAAAAACTTAAGACAGTAAAACGTAAGCAGTAAGGAAATCAACATGTTGGATAGATTGGTTATTGCTTGTTTTACTGCTTTAAGTTTTTTTGTGTGTTTTTACTTTGCACGAACTACGCGCGAATCACGACAATCGCGACTGAACGTGGCGGATAATCAAAGCGATTCCTTCCGGGGTTGCCTGTCACTCGATTGTGGTAGAGTTCCTAGAAAATCGCTTTGGAAGCGATCCTTTGGAAGGGCGCGAAGTTCGCGTCAAAAATTCGAAAAACTATCGATTTTACGCGCCCGATATGCAAAAATGCGAAAGCGATGGACAAAAAAGAAGTTGAAGAGAAAAATAGAAAAGAAAATATAATTATATCAATAAAAATTTAAAAATAATATGTAGACATTATTTAGCATTTGCAAAATTAATTAATATTTTTGATTAAAATACATTACGATATTATTACATATTGCTGTATTAATACAAGTAACATTTCAAAGTTAGCAATGTTTCAGTAGAGTATTTTTAAATTTCTAAATTGAGAAGTTTTAATTACGACAGTGAATGTACGTAGTTTTTATAACTTTATTTTGTCTCCATACTGTTATACTTTTAATTATAATTTTTTCCATTAAAACTGTGTATCATGAGTTTTGAAAATTCGTAGTGTCTGATTTACAGATCAGGCTTAGGAGTTTCATCTTTTATTAAAGTTGTGACACTTTTTTACATAAGCAAATGAGCTGCTGCAAATGTACTATTTTTCCACAAAAAATATATTAAGATTAATCTACACAGTGTGCGGTTTGCTGTGTTATTTCTTGTTTTTTCATCACTTTACTTTTTTGCCTTCTGTTTCTTCGTTTTCTGTTATCCGAGATAAAGGTTGACGAACTTTGGAAAAGACAAGAAATATAATTATCGCTAAAATGGTCGCAAAGAAGAAAAAGACGAGAAGTAAAAAGTGAGAAACAGGAAGTAAATAGCACATTGTAGATTAAGTTTTTAATCTTTATGATCTTTCCTTTCATTATCTCAAAAATGCAATATTTTTTACTCTTATCGGTTTCCAATCAACACAGCGATTTATATGTAATAATATCGCAAATTATTTTAATAAAAAACAGAATATTATTTTCGCATTCAAATATGTAGTATCGCGCTCAAATCATTCGCAAAAATTATTTGTTTCCGTCTCGTCACAATAGAATGGCAGCTCTCAGCTTCGCATTATTCGCGTTAAATCACGCGATAACTGATAAGCTTTACTTTAGCATTGTTCTCCTATAGGCTGCATTCCAAAATATCTTCTCCGAGATAACTTTTATTCGATATTATATAATATTTATTTTTTATTCTTGCACTAGACTGCATTAGAACATTCTTTGGCAATTAATTCAGCAAACAAAACCAATCCGTTAGAACTTAGTGATTTTTTAATATAATTGATTCTTGCCTTTAATTCTTTGCTAAATCTACACTGTTAGAAATGTTCTTAAATTTTATTAATTTTTAAGTTACACAATTTGTATTTAATTTCATGACATTACATTAAATTTAATAACTATATGTATTTATAACTAAAAAATATATTTGTGTACATGTACATAAAATTTAATATATTTTTCATGAAAATTTATGAAATTTAATGTACTTTTCATAAAATTTTATTAAAAGTATATTAAATTTCATAAATTCAATGTACACGTTTATTACATTTGAGTAACTTAATTTTCAGTTAAATCATTCATTACTTTTAATTTCATACATAATCACAAGCTTTATTTATATGTAAAGGAAGCTCGTGATTACATTTCTAACAGTAATATATTTATATGTACATGTACATAAAATTTAATGTATTTTTCATGAAAATTTATGAAATTTAATGTACACGTTCATTTCATTTAAGTAACTACTGTAACTTAATTTTCAGTTAAATCATTCATTACTTTTAATTTCATACATAATCACAAGCTTTATTTATATGTAAAGGAAGCTTGTGATTATATTTTTAACAA